TCTCCGTTTTTTTTTTTTTTTTTATCATAATTTATTCTAATTTTCAATGCGCAGTTTTTCTGAAAAATAGAAAAAGTAAATAAATGGCACGTATAAATCCACATATCGACGGTGAAAAGAACTGCAAAAAATGCGTTTCTCGGCTGCGGTGTTTTGAAATCTCCGCTTCTATTTTATTTTTATAGAAAAAACCGAACCAACAGCATGGTTAGGAATTTTTACCGAATTTTCTTCGCAAAAGAAAAAAAAACCACTGAAATTTTCAAAAAATGACGTTTGGTAGTTTTTAATGTAGAAAATGAAGTATGACAGGAAGTATGCAACGTCGCAACGCAAACCGAGATACGCATTTCTACTGTAAACGTTTTTTTTTATCAATGATCCTATAGATACCAAACAACCATTGCCCTGTTAATAATAATGCAGTGGTTACGCATTTTCCTCTGCTCTCTCGTAATCGTACTGGTATACATGGGAATAAGTAGTTGCACACTGCACATACAAAATTTCCTAATAGAAACAAACTAAATAATACCTTGAAAAACTAAAAAAGAAAGAAAAAAAAATTATTGCCTGCCCATCCTCTTTAAAATAAGGGGAAAACATTGGACAGTATTTCACAAAAGGGAAACTAGCGTCGTCAGCTGTTGCCAAATTTTATCAGACCGTTTTTCATCTGTTCAAGTAAGTGTTCACGCACGAGAGGATTATAGTGCTGATTCGTTTGATAGTTTCAGGGCATTACCTATCTTTGTGGTACAAAGCAAAATTCCCTGAATTTTCGAGCGAACCTATCAAATATAAATGATCTTGTTAGAAAAAATGAAATTAAATAGGTAGGTAAAGTGCCTACCAAAATTTGAGCTTCTTAGCTCACTCGCTTCCGTTTTTGAAAAACGCCGCCCGAAACACCCCCGATCCCCCGATCATGGTTTAAAATAAGACCTTTTTTTCCTGAGAAGTTTTTCCCCCCATAAAAGCCTCCAGTTGCAGCCCCCATCCCCCAGGTTTTATTTGAATTTTGATGATTAGGTTCATGTATCAGAAACAAAACCCATTGTCAGAGCAAAGAGTCCAGGACGTAACTTTAAGTGCTCTATGGACGATGCATCAGAGACCTCAAAACTATCAAAAACCCAAGATATAACGGAGTAATTTAGGGGGTTCATCTATACTTTAGTTCAATGCGACATCTATGCATGAATAGCAACCCCCTACAAATTACCCTACAAATTGAGCTCAGCACATCGTTTTATCAAAACCAAAGCGTAAAAGACTCTCTCATTGTACGCATATAGGCAACTATTTGTTACAAGGAGATATATTTTAGTATAAAAGCGAAGAATTTTAAGCGCTCTGTCATTTTGGATCCTTGCAGTTAGCCCGCGGTGGCGCCACCGCCGCGCAGTGGATGAAGCGGTGAGTTCGTAGACAATTAAAACTCCTTCACTCTCGTGCGTATGCAACACAGACATCCATGAAGCCCGAATAGTTGCATCTAGAGGTTATGTGGTAGGAGTTAGAATGAAAGTACAGTGTTCGTTGCATTAGACACTGATCGCATTATATTAAATTAATAACAGAATCGCAATCTGTATTTCGCTTGCGTAAGTTACACATTTGTAAAGCTGAGTCAGCTCGCATACTGTGTCTCGATTATTATTTTTTTTTCTCATTTTTTTTATACCTATAAATATAGTATATTCAAGTATTGACGATGTAGATGTCATGAAGGTGTCGTAAATTCTTATTTTAATTTTTTCACCAATTATCTCATTGAAGTATTGCCCTTCTTCTTCTGTCGTTTTAAAAAGCAGAAGAAGAAGAAGAAGAAGAAGAAGAAGAAGAAGAAGAAGAAGAAGAAGAAGAAGAAGAAGAAGAAGAAGAAGAAGAATAAGAGGAAGAAGAAGAAGGAGCAGGAGAAGAAGAAAAGGAAAACTCGAGTCGACCATAAATCTATCGACTCCACGCGAGAGAAGGAGGAAAAAGTATGAGTTACATAATCGGCCGAAGCAGCCTTGCAATGCATTTTATCCCTCTATTTACATCCCAACAACGGATTTTACTAAGTTTAAATGCTTATGCCACCAAAAAAGTTATGTTGATTGGTCTGCAAAAATTTCCTCATCAAAGCTCATGCGCTTCAAATTCCCTCGTAGATCCATTGCAACGTTGCCGATATTATCAGGACCCTTATCGTTGATCTAAATAAACTTTATTTAAAATTTGACTCGAATTCTCTTACACTTGAAAGCTATTTTGACTGAAAGGGTATGTAATTATTTTAAGAGTAGTATTGAAATTGTATTTTAAAGATTTCCAATCCGATAGTGTCATGATAGTGCTCGGAGATCTCTAACGATGTAAAAATGTCGACTTACCCGCTCCTAACGGAGGAAACCAATATTAGGTCATCGCTACAAATTCAAGCAACAAATTACGCACAAAACAGAAAAATGTGCCTTTCAGACCTTAAAATCTCCTTATTTTTATTTAAGAAATGCGGTCCGATCTTTGTGAGCACTCTCTTGAATTGTGAAAAAGGGCGGAACGAGAATCTTTTTAGGGGGCCATTGGGAACAGATTACAGTTCTGCTTCCATCATTAAAAAACAAATTTGAATTTCTTTGTTTTCAAAATTCAATGCCAGACTCTGAATACCAATCCAATAGTCAAGGAAAATGTAAAAATTTAAAAAATAAACCAAAGGGGGAAAAAGGGATGAACATGAGCAAAAAATGCAAATGTATTGTTTAGAGTATAAAAACGATAAGAGACATTAAAATTGAAATTGATCACACTTAGAAATAACTCGGGTTCTTCGCGGAGAGGGGCAAATCAATTTTAAACACCGTTTTCCGTATTGAGTCAGACGAAAGCAAATCTCCCACACTGTTTTACATTACACTGTGTTGCAAGTAACAGGCATTATGCTGGGTGCTCCGTCCGTGGTTCATAATCACGCGACCATCGGGGAGTTAGGAAGGTATGTAACGCATAAGCAAACGCCTTCATTTCGTGAGGTAGACTTTAAGCGAGGCATGGTGCGCACGAGAGTCGAGAGTGCCGCACGGGTGGGAGATTTCGCCGCTTGCCTTCTACTGTTCACAACCTGGCCTGGGACACCGGCTGGTCAACTTCTGCTGTTTTCAAAGATGGACACAAAATGTGAGGAGGGCACTCCGAGGTTCCGAAACTCGAAGCACATTTTACGCAATCTCGACTCCAAAAAACGAAAATTTAGTAAAATTTTTCTCTCGTCCGATTGTTGTAAGCACACATAGCATAGGATCAGCGCTGGAACTTTAATTAGGCAATTAAATTATTTAATTGAAAACGGTTGTGCAAATTTTGGTGTAAACAATGAGTCTTCTGCAAAGTGCGAGGCAATTAAATTCCCTGAAAGTTTCAAAGGAATCCGCACAACCGTTCTCTCGTACAAAATTAGATTGCCCAGTTAAATTTGGCAACAGCTTATGTGGCTTGGTTCCTTTCTGCTAAACGCGGTCCATTTTAAAGCCATTTCCCGATGTTCTCTCAATATAATCGTTTTTTTGGAGTAAAAAGCATCCTTCATGACGTTCCCTCGTAGCATCAACAATTCATTGTTTTCATTTTACTTAATTTTGTTCCCTCTACACTGACTTTCGAAGGTGCTGGTCTAATAAATTACCTCTCCACGGTCTTACTTGCGGCCATGTGGCCATAACAACTTTTAATCAGATAAAAATAGAGCTATGCAGTGACCGAGTATCGGCAAAGATGGATTTTACACATTTTTGCTTAGGACTTAAAATCGCAGAAAATCAAAATCTTAGCTGATCTTAATTTCAAGATATGGAAATTTGAAATTTTCATAGTAAATGCAAGTTTTCTGCTGATTTTGATCCGCATTTATATTTATTTGTCTGGTGAATCGGTGTTGATTGGTTCACGTTTTTATTTTTCGTTCGATTCATGTTGATCGAATACATACCCTCTCGTTGCATGCAGACTACCTACCATACTCTTTTTTTTGGAACTGAACAATTCGCCTGCTGCTGCGTCTGCAGCAATTGTGCGTGCTGATTTTAGCTTATTACGTACTTCACTCTCAGAGGGCGTTTTATGTGCGGAACCAATTCGCCTTCAGCTGCGTCTGCAGCAATTGTTGTTATGTAGATGTCGCTCGTACTGATTTTTGCTCATTACATACTCGACTCTTTGAAGGCGTTTTATGTGCGCAAGTAGAGCAGTCTGTCGGATAACTATAGAAAAGTGATTTGAATGCATCTCTCAATCCCTACTTCGTTCGTTATCCGACAGACTGCGTTACTTACTCACTTAAAACGCCTTCAGAGAGTCAAGTATGTAATGAACTAAAATCAGCACGCACAACTTATCCGTAACAACAATTGCTGCAGACTCAGTTGCAGGCGAATTGTTTAGTTAAAAAAAAAAGAGTATGATAGGTAGTCTGCATGTAACAAGAGGGTATGTATTCGATCAACATGAATCGAACGAAAAATAAAAACGCGACCTATCAACACCGATTTGATGGACAAAAATAAATTGGAAAAAAGTGGATCAAAATCAGTATAAAATTTTCATTTACTATGAAAATTTCAAATTGCGGCCAAGATTACGTACACACGTACATATCGATGGTGTAGGTCCGCAACCACTTATCTCGGTTTGCGACGTGGCAGACTTCTTGTCATACTTCATTTTTTAAATGGGAAACTATTCAGGGGCCGCCGTTCCTTAAAACTGCCGTGATTTTTCCACCCTGAAGCAAGAAAATTCTGCGAAAACTTCAAGGAATGATGTCGCTTGGTTCTCCTTTAAAAAATAAAATAAGAGCTGAGATTTTCAAACACCGCAAACGAGATACGTTGTTGCGGACTTACATCATCGATATGACGTAACATAGACTCACCCTCTGCAAACCGCTATGTGGTACGTTTTTGAAGCATTTTTTTTTTGCTTCAAGACCACAGTGCGTGCCTGCCATGCCACGACGATACCTATTCCATCGCGTGGAATAAAACGTGTTGCCTACGCCGAAATTGAAGGCGAACTGACATGGCGTTGATGTAACTATTCCCGTTTGGTAAAATTGATTTGGATGTGTTCTGTGTATTCGTGCTAATTTGCGATGATATCCCTATTCCTCTTCTGTTTCATTTTCTTATTTTTCCTCTCCTCTTCAATTTATCAAACATTATTGTGCCTGGATTCATGTAAGTACCTCGGTACTTTCGCTCTCCGGTACCACCGCTTTGCAGGTTCGCCGCGCGCCAAGTATCTTCGACGTCTTAACATGAAGCTTCAAGGCTTTTTTGAAATTTCTCACTCCGATATTACCATGGATTAAGTAACGAAGCATCCCCAATACTTACCGGAGTAAAACATCCCGCAAAGTGCGGACATTGCAGTAGATAGATGTACATGGCAACATCAAGCAAGAGCAATGTAAGTGTTGTATGTGTGCAAGTTAAAAAAGTTGCGCCTCAGCTCCTGTGTCCAATCAGAATCGAGAAACTGGTATCAGGCTTTGTAAGTTCACCCTCACCCTCCTCACCCTTCCCAGTAAAAGGGGCCTCAATACCCTTCCGAAATTGCAACATTGCGATTGTGGAGTTGCCTAATTTAACGGAATTGTCTTTTTCTTTTACGAGACTTCGAGTGCTACAGCAGAATTAGGGTAATCATTGTTGATATTTTGACGCAGCCTCAGTTTTAATTTATCGTAATTGCTTTGAAATAGGAAAGTATCACCTTGTCAGTTAAATATTTTCAATTCAGAGCACAAAAGTACTCGCGGTTCGGCAACAGTGGTATTGAGAGCGCCAGCGATTGGTGTGACGGCGAGGTTGAAAATCTTTAATTTATAAAGAATTCTGAGCGCCGCAATATGGCGGGAGTGGTAAGATCTTAGATCACGGTGAAGAAAATATCCAAGTTCATGCAGAAGTGACCGGTGATTTGATTTTCCTTCATTACGATGCCTCGTCCAAAGAGGACTGTAAGTACTTATTCACCCACTGAATGTAGATGCACTATTCTGTTTTATTTCTCAAGCAGCTTGGCCCAAACCGCGTTCTCCTCCACCTGATTTTGTAAACATAGGACATGTCGTATAACCCTAAATTTAAAATTCTGTTGCCCATCTCCAAATCAATCGAAACGATATGTATTGGCCCTGTTAAATGATACCCTTAAACAGTTTTTCTCATCAAACTCAAGCTTTCAGCATTGAATAGCACAAGTCTTTTAATCCTCCCCTGTATAGGCCTCACATTTTTTTTTTCAATGCCCCTCCGATCACCCTTTCATGAGGGTATTCAGTCCCTCTCTTGGACAGTTTTGCCTCTTATCTCGCTTCAACTGCCCAGGGAATCTTTACCAATGTATATTTTTACCGCTATCAGTAATGGTTCTGCACCTCTAAACATGTGATACCTGAAATATCGTTGAATCCTATGAATTTATCATCTACATTGTGAAGGAAGCGGTACCCAATACTTACTCTAAATCACCCTAACACGATGAACTCCTTTCCAGTTATTCATCGTGTGTCATTGAGTTATGTCTTGATTTACTGTCATGATTTTCTTGATGACACATCAATTTATCCCTGTTTATAATGGATAGGTCAAGCCCTATGAAATCTGACTCTGTAACCTTTCTTCTCTTCCAACGCAAATTTCTTTGTCAACATCACTGTACTTTCTGCTCTGCATGAGCAGCACTAGATATTTATCTAGAGAAATGTCTGAGAAAGCAAGTATCTTGTAAATGATCAGTTCATCACCGAAACAATGAACCAGTTCGTCGAGGTCAACTTTTTCCGGTGTTTCTGGTGTTTCCACCAACATCCACCCCACAACACGTACGTTGCGTCCCGTATTAATTTGTCAACAATGAGTGCCATGATTTGAATTAGACTGCTTTGTTGAAATAGATTTTAGCATAATGCAAAGCCTGCGCAAGCATTTTAATGTGAACCATGATTCAGTTAAATTTGTTTTGTAACGTTTAACTCGCTTTTTTTATTTTAAAGAATTCAAAATCTGAGAAGGGCATACTTGTATGCTCTTTGTAAAGCAATCTACCTAAAATACTGTGTTAACAATTTCATCATGATACATGTATTAACCTTCATTGCAGTACTTAGTTATTGCAGTTTCATTCTTCCTTTTTGGCCAACGTTACTTACTCTCTTTTCCCCATTTCTTCCCGTCCTCCCATTTTCATGGTCGGATACTGTTGCATTGTCAATTTTGATTCTAATAATCCAGGATTTAAACTTTTGCAATTATAATTAACAGCAAACTGAATTCAGAGAGTTGATCACATCTTATTCCTTGTTTTGAAAAATGTTTGCCCTTAGAATCTTCCGATTTCCAACAGCCCGATTGTTCATTTTATTTTCATCCATTTATTGATTACCTAGATTGGAAGTTGCAGAAAACTGATTATTTTTGGCATCGCTGTCAAGCTTGTGATGAGGTCCTCATTTTTTCATCCTCTCTTTTCCTCCTACCACTTTTCATTCATAATTTTAAGAATTCTCAACTTACTATACTAAGCACCTTCTTAATGATTGAAAAAATAAGAGCACTCAAATTGATTTAGCATGGATGCAGCAGACCTTTTCTAAGGTGCATGCGTTAAAAGTCTCAATAGCTCATGCCACTAATCAAGTGATAAAACTAATTGCATTGATGATGCTTTGGTTGATATAAATAATAATTTACCTATCATCCAATGATGCTGGAGACCTGATGTAGATTAGTGGGGGAAAGAAATAATTTAGTGCAGCGTATCATTGTGACTATTTTCAGCACTTTGATCCATCTAAAACTGCCTCCAGTTCCCGTCATTAACCTCTTGTTGTAGTGGAGTAAACGCAACATTTGCCCCAATTGAAATTCTTTATTGGTTTTTTCCATGTACAGGAATCAGGTACAGTCCTGGTTTTTTCTCATCTTTCAAGTTATGAAAATAGTGGTGTGGAACTAATTTCAGAGTGGTTTGAAATCGAAGTGGCTCAACATTTCGGGCTTTACAGAGCCATCGTTCATTATCATTAGGATCAGGACTTGAGCATGATTGTGAGGATGTGGAAGGTTGAAAGCGTTCCATTTTACCAAATTTGTTTGATTCTCATCTGCTCCTAATTTCTGTAGATAGTTTGCCATTTTTTGTCAAGCCTAATATTTTGTTAAATCTTTCAGGCCATCAAGAAACCCATTGTAATTAACAGCTCTTCAGACAGTGACAGTTTTGATGAAGATGACGATCCGGACAAAATTGAAGTGCCAGGTTTGTATTTTCTTAATTGTATCTAACAAGGGGGAGGGGAATGTTGTTCGCAAAAACAATTAGCATCAGATGGAAACTTTCATGTTTGCATTCGTAAGGGAAAAGACATTCTTGTCCTGCAGCTTAATTTGAGATCATATTTACTCTTGTCAGTACTGTAACAGAAAGTAACAGATATGTCTCTATAAAACTGTTTTGTATTCCAATTCAATATAGCAATGAGAAACTTGAAAATGTTTTGCCTTCCTTAATCCTGTATTTCTTGGTTTGCATATTTGAAACTTTTAACCATTGAAGGATATCTCATTAGTATTTTTGGCTGTTATTGGACCATCATGTCTCTTACCTTATTTTTTATGCAACACAACAAATACATTTAATTGATTATAGTGATTGGTGAGTGTATGTTCTCTGATACAAAGTGTATTCTGCAGGTGAAATATATGTGTGTGAAAGAAACTTTAATGATGGTCAAATTACGGAAATGCGTATCTCTGTTTATAGAGTTGCAGACTTCCCGTCATACTTTATTTTCTACAATGAAAGCGACTGAACATCATGTATTGGAAACTTTAGTGATTTTTCATATCTGTAGGAAAACTATTCCTTGAAAATTTCTAGCGACGATGTTGGTTTGGTCTCATTTTCAAAAGTAAAATGGGAGCAAAGATTCTGATGCACCGCAACGGAGATACACATTTTTGCAGTTTCACTGTCAATGCAAGTCTAATGGGACTGCGTATAGCAGTACATTAATGTTTAGTAATCTTGTATCCTCCTAAAAACTCCTTACTTATTGATGGCCTGGCTGATACAGGATCCCGCACACTCCTTATGGGGATGTGTTCCGATCGATTTTTGACTGTTTTAAATTCGTTTATGGATACTGATCAAAAGTCATAATTGAGCCAATTTTCTATGAGCCTTATTTTTGCACAATACGCAATTTACGTCACAGCAATTTCCAGGACCGGCCGGCTGAAATCTAATTGCAGTGCGCGTCTGTCTGGTAAGGACAATAGAAAGGGGGAGAGAGAGAAAAAAACTGATTTGGACAGTGAAAAGAAAAGGCGTGTGGAATCTGAGATAAGACCGTTGCTCGGCTGCTGATCGGTTTTCCTGTTAACATGATTTTTGCTCATCCGACCATACTCTAGTACTCTTCACATTCATTTATGCGAGGATTTACCAAAACGCTTTGTAGTGGGTTGTGCAAAAATAGTGGCTCGTAGAAAGTTTGGGCATTGATAACTTTTGATCAGCAGACATAGACAAATTTAAAACAATTAAAGAATTATAAAGCGATTTTAGTACACATCCTCATAAGTAGTGTGCAAGGTCCTTTGTTTATAATGAGTGGTTTAGTTATTTTTTTTTTTTTTTTATTTATTTATTCTTTTCCCCTTTATTGCAATGATATTTTTAGCTTCTAAGTGAATTGTTTTAATCTATTATTTCTCTTTTATCCAGGAGGAGGTAAAGATCTGGCGACATCCGCTGCAATTAGCTCTCTAAAAAATGAAGGTGGAATCCTAGAACCAGTCAGCTCTGCTACCACTGCAGTGAAATCACCAACTGTCATCAATGTTGTGCCAAAGAAAGAAATGAAACTCTCTACTACTCCCAAATTAGTTTCCGTTAATACTGAAAGTAAGTAATTCTAAGACTGCCAATGTCTGTAGATTAGCTTGTTCGTAGATTGGCTGCCCTTTTGGGCCGTAAGAGTTCCATAATTTGATGAGACCTATCCTCCTAAATTACCAATATAGGTCCATACACTCTTCCCTTATGTGGATAGCAGTGTGAGGGTAGCCTCAAAAAACGTTGAGGGAATGTGGTCTTGTGTGGACAAAAATCTGAAGGCAGCCTCTCAAAATGTGAAAGGGAAGAACTTTCTGCACCTTTGAACTTTTTTCCTAGTGGCCGTTATCAGAAAAATCTGGCAACACTCTAGTAAGCTTAGCTCTTTTAATACATATGAGAGTCGCAATGAAGGAAGAAAATAACTTATTAGCCCATTCATAATAAAATTTTTGGTTCTTTTAGTTTTGATGATGGGGCACCGTACCACATGTAATACCAAGAAATTTGGTGCTGTCTAAATTTCAAGATTTTTTTCGTTATACACGCATTATTTAAGTGGGAAAATGAAGGTGGTCAATGTGCGAGCTCCTCTTTCTGCGTCTACGCAGGCCAGGGAGATGAGACGGCGTGTTAATTCAGTTCATAACAAAACACTCCGCATTTTCATTTTGGCGATGGTGTCACTTCTGCGTGCAATGACACATGTTTATTGCTGAAAATGCACTATTCTGATCAGTTCGTCTCAAGATCGGCTCAAAAAAATTTAATTTTAAAAGCTCATCGTCCTCCAGAAGGAACATCATATCATAGAATCTCGAAATTTCACCGAATTTCTTTGAATTGTGCGGTGTCCTTCATTTTCAATTAGGAGCCTGACTGATAATGCCCTGAAACCCCCCTCGCCCTTCACGTCAGCTAGGTCTGGCATAATTGAGAAGGGTGTGTTCAAAATGCATGTAGAATTTCACCTATAAATTAAGCTTTAAATGTTTCAGCTGGAACGAATCCAATGAACTCAAAACCCATGGGCATGATGGGGATGAAAGGTTTTGATCCCGGCTACATGAGTGGTGCATCTGGAATGGGTCCTTATTCAAATCCTCTATCAGCGCCCGGCTCCTTAGGTAGTTTTGGTTTGTCACCTATGAGTTACCCTGGAATGCATCCAGGACCACCGAACATAAATCCATTGCAATTCTTACAACCTAGTAAGAGAGTTAAATTTCACTACCATTAAATTCTTTGAGACTGCATTGATTCTGCATGTCTTTGTTTATTATCAGTGAATTAAAATTTAAGGCCCTAGCAGGAAACTTCTGCAGGTTGAAACAGATAGAGATTGAACAAGAAGGAGCATTTAAAAAATTTTAGATTGTTGTTATGTTGAGGAAGTGCCTCCCATTAAATATTTTCCTCTCAATATGTTAAATAAATAACAATCCAAAACAGAACATTAACTTTAACAGTTATAATGATTTGAGTGTCTCTTTTGCCCATCGTGATGTGTACACTATCCTCCAGTCCATCGAAGTTTGAACTTTGCTCAGAATCTTCCCCTAAATGAATAATGGAAGGCGCATCCCAAAAACTGCAAGTTTAAATTCAATGCAGTTTCAAGTGATTTTTATTGATGTTGTATGGTTCGTGCTGTATTTGTCCGATGCATTGCTTGGCTTACTTATTATTTTTTTAGTTTAAGTTTTCAATTTTTTTATTTGTCATTTTTTCCTTGAGTTGCTCAGATTTTCAGATGGTTCTTTCTATTTTTTCTTTTTTTTGTGCTGAAGTATATTCTCACGATAAGTTTACTTTCAAAGTATAATTTGGTCAATCAGCTATATACTACAGAAAACATGTTTAGAAAGTAATGAATTAGTGCATGACAATAAATAATCCAGAATTCAGACTTGTTGCTTGAGTGTCTCACTACTGTTATTCATCGCTTTTTAATTTTTATGTCTGCAGCATGCACATTGATTTATTAAACCTCAAAATAGTGCATACAAAATCACAGTAAGACCTTTATTGGATTTCGAATTAACAGCTTGATCTTCCGCTCCCTTCAAGGGCTTCAAGCTAATTCCAATCAACGGATTCTGCAATTTTCCGGATCGATTCGTCAGTCCCTTGAGATCAGATTAATCGAGGTCTTACTGTAGATGCGTTTAGCATTTAAAGAATAACTAACCGGTTAACCTCACAAGAGCAAAATTGTAATGAAACCTATCAAAAATAAGTCCAATTAAAATTTTGTACTCTCATTAAAGTTTTGCACTTTTGATTCTCTGTAATACAAAATGAGATAATGAATTATCGAAGTGAATTTATTCGGTACGTGTGGATCTTTTGCCAAAATGTTGATTGTCCTTTTTTTATGAAGTTAGATGGAGAAAAGAAATACAATAAAAGAAACTACATTTAAACTAATTGTGGACATCGCCTGAACTTTTTTTACTTAACCCCATCAAAATGAAGAAAATCTGAATCGAGTTTTTTTATCAGAAACTTACTCACTTTTTGGAACCCAAATTGCCTCAAGCATCAAATTAGGTTGTGTTTCTTTCTAATTAGGTTATGTTTCTTGCTTTAGGTTTAGATAGAGCCGGTGGCTTGTTTCCTCCAGGATTTTCAACAAGCGCATTTAATCAGTTATTAATGTCTGCAAATCCCTCAGCAACAGGAGCTCTCTTACAGCAGATTCTCAGTTCAGGGATGGGAATGGGTGGAATGGGAATGACGCCTGGGTGGTCACCATTCCCGCAGATGGGAAAAAATCTGCCATACCCACCATTCTGGGGCAGCAACGAAGACAAGGTGAGCTTGATTGTCTCTTTCATTCTAACTCCTATCATAATTTGTGAAGCCAAAACAGGCTATTCATTCAATTGCAATTCATTTTTACATGCAGTGTAATCTTAAGTCCTGTTTACCCCAGTAACACTTTTCCTTACGAAGATATTAGATTGAACTTTTAGGAATACTCCTAAGTCAAAGTGTCCTTTTTTGCCTCCCAAAGTTTTGAGGGGACTTGCTGAGTGGGAGGCGTAGACCTTCACTGCTTTTCTTTTGTTTTAAAATGGCAATCCCCATCTAGCGAATTATAAATTGGAAAAGGCATTATGAAGAAAAATTTTGGATCAAAGTTGGGGTCTATACCTCAAACCGTTACAAAATGGCAGTCCGGTAAAGTTGACAATGGCAAATAAAAAAATCTTGGTAACCTATGAACGAATTTGCCTCATACTTGACATCTGCAGGTGTAATAGAGCTGAACTCAAATTTGACTCTTTTTTTTGGGGAAAAATGAATCCTTTTCAAAGCTGTAATGAATCATACAGGATGTTAGAATAGTCCCCCCCCCCCTTCAACTTTTTACTTTTACGTAACTGAGTTAGAGATTTGAAACTTGGAGGACACTCCTAGGTCAAAGGGAGCTACTTTGCTACGGAGCTACAAATGGGAAGACTCCTCTTGTGATACCTCTTTCAAAAGAGCATAAACAAAGAAAACTTTACATGCAAACTGGAAGTCAGTAACTCAAACCGTTTGAAAATGACCTCTTTTAAAAGAGTATAAACAAAGAAAACTTTACGTGCAAACTAGAAGTCAATAACTCAAATGAAACTTTTTGAAAATGGCGGCTGGTTAAAGTTCAAAGTGGTCGAAAATTTGCTCCTAGGTTTTTTGTTGATGAATTTGCCTGAGACTCGTTATCAGGGTTTTATTTTAACACGAGAAAGACGGATTTAACATTGGATTTGTATAAAAACCATAATTGTCAAAATGGCGGCTGGTTCAGGTTCAAAAAGGCCGAAAATTGTTATTTTTCAGGAATCTAATTTCAAATTTGTTAATCTCATGCTAAAATACCCCTAGGTTCCAAGTTTCAGGCAAATTCATAGACAAATAACCGAGTTGCCAATTTTCGGTCATTTTGAACTTAACCGGCCACTATTTTAAAACTGTGTAAGATCGTAAGTTCCGGTTTGAGCCAAAAATGCACTTTTTTTATGCTCTTTTGAACAAGGTGCCACAAAGGGGCCTTTCCATTTGAAAAAAACAGTTGGGGTCCGTTCCCCCCTTCCCTCTCCAAGGGGGCCTTCTGGAAATTTTAGGGGCGTCAAAAAGTAACTCCCCTTGACTTAGGAACGTCCTCCAAGTTTCAAATCTCTACCTCAATTGGGTACGAAGTTAGAGAGGGGGAGGGGACTTTTCTAACACCCTGTATCACAGCTAAACAGAAAAAAACCTGTGTAGTTGTGATGTTTTTTGCTGATCTCACTGGACATTTTCGAACCTGCCTGAACAGTCCATAACATGACCTCTGATGGTGTCATGGTATCTAAAAGGCTACAAGCGGTAGTCTGCAGAGTAGTGTAGAGTTGACTGCTCTAGCAGTCAGTGGCACGTCCCTTCATTTCCTCTCTCTCTCTCTCTTCATGGTTCTGTTACTTAGTTAGTGTGACCTGGAATTGAGGAGTTCTTTGGCATAACCACGTATACGCGTATACGCCGTTTCTTCGGAGATCGGTTCTAATAAATCCTCTGACTCTGAGCTGTTGGTACAAATAGTTTGTATAAGTTTCTGATGAAAAATTATTAAGGTTAAGCCGGTCCGAACACACGCACCTCCTCATCCGAGACGTTCTCCGGAAAAACCACGTATACGCGTAAACGTGGTTTTCTAACCATGAATGTAAAATTCGGTATAATTTGCATAAGGAAAAAGTTAAATCGTACAATCAACTCAAAAGTGANCCCGTCAAGAGTTGGATATAAAACCCCCACAAGCAACTCTTCCACCTTTGAAACCGGCCAAAATAGCAGATGTCAGAGCTCTCTATGAGTTTTTGAATGAAGAGGCGAGGACCTGGTTAAACATCCTTTTCAAAAACAGCGTTCCAGGTGACGATGGGCAAGGGCCCTCTGATCTCTCCGATGACGATATGAGCGAATATTAAAACTTTTTGCTTACTATTTGAACCTAATACAAGGTACATTATTCATACTAACATTTACTTTTTTCGTCTATCCTCTAACTCCTGAAAAATTAAAATCAATTAGACAAATACCCATTCGAAGTCGATCTCTGTTAAAACCACGTATAATTATTTATTTAGCAGATTCATTTACTCAAAAGCGTCTGTTAATTTAGGATCATTTGCTTCTGTAAAATAATTCTAGATAGTATGAGCTTTAAAACAGTCTTCAGTTTTTTTAAATCGGTTGAGTAGTTTCGAAAATATACACTGTCAAACTTTCAATAGCGTATTTCTCACGACTATATTTTTCGTTATACGTGGTTATGCCAAAGAACTCCTCAATTGGTGTTCAGTGCTTCTTTACATCAGTGGAAATGCCGCCTAAGTGTTGTGTTGGGAGATTCTTAAAATTGAAAGGGAATTCATTCCATGTTTGTCGGAGGAAAGGCTACCGGCAAGGGCTGGAAGCAGTCGCCAAATTATCTGTAGAAGATCAAATAAACCTGGGACCCAGAGTTGGTACAAACACTCTAAAAAAAATTTGTGCCTATCATAAGAAAGTTTTTATTAACGAGTTCACTTCTACATTCGGTGCTTGGTGTTGTGATCCATTAAAACTTCATCCTCTTTTAAATAACTCAAAATCCAAAAACTCAAATCGCAGACGACGTGCACGTGGAATTGCTGTATTAAAAATTGATCATAGAATAATAGGAAGGCGGCGTGGAGTTGATCTTATTCCAGGAAAATCTTTGTGTAAACAGTGCTACGAAGTAATTATACTTGGAAAACGGAAGAATAAACTAGTAGCTAAGAAGAGAAAAAGGAGAAATGGTGGGAGTATTAAGATAAAAGAGAGTAAAGAGAAGAAAGAGCAACCAGAAGAAGAACCAGATTTCACAGTGAAATTATTGAAGGTAAGAGAAGCAATTTCCAAAATAAAGATAGATGACTTGAACTGATAGGATGATCAAATTATTTGCAACACGCAATCATTTCCCTCAAAAATGTAAATCCTATGGGAAGATGTTTGCATTGTCACCAACTTGGTGATTAACTTGGGATTAGTGGAGGCGAAGTTTTGCTAGTACCCAGTTTATTCAACACATGTATCAATTGGCATAAGCGGCTGCTTCTGAAACTGCTTAATTTTTGGAGGCATCAATTAAACTTCTCCCTTTCTTTCTGGTGACAACAAGGAAGGAGATCATTGGACTTTTCTCTCTTTTCATTTATGTATTTATTTTTTGTGAAGGGAAGGGGGGGGGGTTAATTTTTCCTTTGTCTGTCTTTTCTGAACTCAACCCTAAGTCATTTATTAAATGTTACGTATTACAAACTCCTGTTCCTTGACAATGATGTGTCTGTTTCTAGATTAATGCATTGAGAGAGGAGCAGCAAGATGATGAAGATGCTGAAGAAGATGGCATGGGAGTTGCTGAAACATACGCTGATTACATGCCAGCTAAATGTATGTAGTATCTGCTGTTACTGATTTTTTTTTTCTGTTCTGAACATTTAAGGAAATATTTCAATTCAAATTCATTTTTTTCGTCTCTTTGTATCTCTGAATTGAAGAAAAGAAAGAGAAGTGAAAGACAAATTGACTTAGCAAAGCGATGCATGAAGATGAGTTCAGCTAATAAGCAACCGCCATTTCCCCCGCCGGCTATGACACTAGTACCTGCCAAAAATATTGTTTCAAGCGGGTCCCATTGTTGGCATTTTTACAACAAGATTTCTCTACCATTTAGAGTTTAAAAAATCTGAAAAATTCATAGAAGATTAGTTCACTCTGTACTCTCAGAAAACGAATGAAAATTATTGTCTGCCGCTGACAAATCTGTGTTAATAGTAGAACGAAGACATACATAGGCAGCCCAAAACGGAAACAGTAGAAAGGAAACAAAGGAACAGCGGAAACAAGGCAAAAATACACAAAATTATACGGGGCATTTTGGTGTCTCTTGACACTATTATCTGTATTTTCATCTGTACCAAGTAATACACCTCTTGAACAGCTCAAATTAACATTCCAAGAACATTGATTAATGTCAGAAAAAGGCTTTGTTTCACCTATAAGACATTTTCATGCTATCTCAGCTGTCCTAAGTAATCTGCCTTTTCTTGAACAGTCGATTTTTAGCTTATCTGCTGTAATATTTTTATTTTACAGTAAAAATTGGCAAGAAGCATCCTGATCCTGTCGTGGAAACAGCGTCACTTTCCAGTGTTGAGCCTACAGACATCTGGTACCAGTTGTCCATTCCTGAAAGTACTATCAAATCGGGCGCTCTCTCTGCTCTACAACTTGAAGCCATTACTTATGCCTCCCAACAGCACGAGCACTTTTTACCTGATGGATCTCGAGCAGGATTTTTAATTGGTAAGTTTGTCTAAATCTTCAATTTAAGTTAATTTACACTCAGCATAGAGTGAAAATTTAAAAATGCTCTCTATTAAATGCTTTTAGTGTATTCTTTGAAGGCAAACACCCTATTTTGTGAAATATTTTCTCTCATGTTCCTCTATTCAATAATGTCAGATATTGAGTATGAGTCATGTAAAAAATGAATTCCTTCTGCTGTAGCAAGGTCAATTAATTATTACAATATTAATCATTTCCTTAAAAGTAAACCTGTTTTTGCTGTAACTGCAATAGCGGCTGTTTTCCAAAAAAATCCATCTATTATCAAGTAATAGGGATAAGGGTTGCTTTATAGGTTTTTGCTAGGCTATCGAAACATATCGACGGTGTAAGTCGGCAATCACATATCTCGGTTTGCGACATCGCAGACTTCCTGCCGTACTTTATTTTTTAAACGGAAAACTATTCAGTGGCAATTCTTTAAAGCTGCCGTGATTTTTCTTCTCTTTGCAAAGAAAATTCTTCAAAAACTTCAAAGAATGATGTCAATTTGTCCTCTTTTAAAATAAGAACAAAGATGCGGAGATTTTCAGACACCGCAAACGAGTTATGTGATTGCCGACTTACACCGTCGATATATCGAAAAGCAGTAACAAAGAAATGACTCTTACCAGTAGCTATCGGAGTTTCTAGAGTTGATAAAAATAAGCCGTTGCCACATTTATCTATTTAAGGGGCCGAGTATCTCAACAGACAGTGTAACTTGACACCAATACTTCGACTCAGAGCAGTTCCGATAAAGCAGGCCGTCTCTGTCAAGAGCGACCTTAGTGTATTAGTATGCCAAAAGAAGCAGTACTGATACTGATAGCTTTTTGACAAGAATTCGTTTGAACACTGCCAATGGAAATGTAGTAAGAAGTTTATTTTAGATGATGGGGTCAATACCAGTTTGCCCAGTAAACTTCTTAAATCAACGTTTAATTCCCGAGTTTGCCCAAAAAAAGAACTATATTTGTGAACATTGAAGCATTTTCAATTTCTTCAACAATTTAGATTTGTTAAAAATTGTTTCAAATCACCGATTTGAAATGTTCTATTATCGTCAAAACCATTGTAGTGGCTTCAAGCAGCGTAGAGAATTCAATGATTTTCATATTGATGCCTGATTTTCTGACAAGCTATATCAAGAAACTGTGATTTAAGTATGCTTAGTTGCCCTTCGCTAATCATTTTGTAAATCCAGGCTGTAAATTCCTGAAAAAATTATTTACCTTGTGGTTATTCATTTATTAATTCATTTTTGTCAATTCTGTATGGCAATAGGTGATGGTGCTGGTGTTGGAAAAGGTCGAACTATTGCTGGAGTTATTTATGAAAACTATATGAAAGGTCGTAAAAGAGCAATATGGGTGTCAGTATCAAATGACTTGAAATATGATGCGGAAAGAGATCTTGGCGATATTGGTGCTGGAAAAATTGAAGTTCATCCACTGAACAAGGTAAATATCCCTGCATTTGTTGAAGCCTATAGTACAGGGGAGGAGAGTTAAACTCTTTTATTGCTTCACGATTAGTTAAGAAGGGTGGTGAGTTGGTTCAAGCTCAGTATTTTATAATTATTTGTACACGCATCAATTTTTTTTTTTTTTTTTTGCCATAGGTACATTTTTTAATCTAACGTAAGTGAAAAATGACTAGTACAAATGAACAACCGCACTCTCTCAGAATCTGACCTCCATATTTCTCTAAGTCTCCCCTCCTTTCTTGAAAAGACCCTTTAATGACATCTATCATGTCATAACTGGAATTACATTTCATATACAGCTACACGCGCAATACATGTATACATTTTCATAATATTTCATGAAATTTTGTAAAATTCAATAGAACAGAGCTCTTTTTGTCTCATGCTGTAGTTTTTTTGCTGTCTTCGTTTCGGTTACTGCTTGAACAAAGTATTTTAACAACCTAATTTTTAGATTCATAACTTGAAATCCTCATGGCTATTCTCGGTGGAAAAAGGGAAGGAGTGAAGATGGAATGTCATATTGAAACTAATTTTCTTTTACGAAACTAAAACAGTGAGAGGAACTCTTTCCTAGTACCGAAAAGTGTCCTTGAAGTCAGTAAGTTGCACATGCCATCAGAGATAGGTATTCAAGGTGACCCCCCAATAATAAGGGGTGAGTTAAACTCAAAGTGCACCAATAATAACCTAAAAATAAAGAATTAAAACCTCAAGCCTTTTTTTCTTGCCTCTAATTTTACATTGCTCAGCTCCGTCTGTTGGAATTTACTCCTCATGAGGCACATACTATTTTTGTCTAGAATTATGACATTTGCTTTCATTTGCTCTTTGTTTCAGTTCAAGTATGCCAAAATATCCTCCAATGTCAATGGGAATGTGAAAAAAGGAGTCATTTTCTCAACGTATTCTGCCCTTATTGGAGAATCAAGTCAATCAGGAGGAAAGTACAAGACGAGACTGAAGCAACTATTGCAATGGTGTGGAGATGATTTTGATGGCCTTGTATCCTTTTTCTCAAATTATTTATGTATACTCTAAAGAGTGTGAAAGCATCCATGCTTAACTTGTTGGGAACAGCTTCAGCCACTGAAGGTCGAGAAGTGAATGTCTAACTGTGCAATCCATACACCTGAAAGTTTTGATCTTATTAGATTGAATCCATTTTCGTACTAGCATTTTTATACTTGCCCAGTCCAGCTGTAGGAGCAACCAGGAGCGCATCAAAATGCTCTTTCGTGATCTTAAGAACAATATTAATGGCACCATCTAACAAATTAGGCAATCGGATGAACATGACCGAAACAATCGCATAGCATCTGTGTTAGTTACCTCGTCCTTGCATAGTTGTCCTGGGTTGGCTATGGCAAGTGCACACGATGTGTGCAAATGATCTCTGAGTAACTGCATGAGATAGCGCGTCTAAGCGCACTTGTCTTGGGATGGCGAGTCCTGTGTATGCAAATGGGTTAAATAGTTTCAGAGACAAGTTTTTTTTTTTTTTTTGTTCTATATGGGAACTTGATCTGGTGATGCATCAGCCATCAGTGGGTGACAATGCACCTGCCTCTCAATTTTTTCACTGGAAAGCACCTTGTATCAGAAATGTGGATAATGTCGCCAATATGTCTGTTCCTATTCCTACTCATCTTTCAATTGAAAGGTGAATTAAAGATCAGTCAAAAACTTGTCAAATTAATTCAAAAGTAGAAGAAAAAAAAGAAAACGATTATAAAGAGAAAGGAGAAATATATCAATGAATTGTTTTTACTATAATTAGTATCAAAATGGGATTATTTCAGTTTATTTTCATCGTTGTTGGAGCCAGTCTCTTGCTGCCTGAGCTGCTCTTGAGCTCTCATGCTGGCCTGTAAAAACAAGCTTGGATGCTTGGCTTGATATATGCAAGCTCCTGGCGAAACTAGAAGTCACTCTCTTTGACCTTTAGAGTGCACCAGTTAGGCTCAGTTAGAAGATTTTTTACTGAGCACATTGCTCTCCTATAGAAAGTTGCTGAAATTTTTGTTTAAATCCTTGGTAATAATCAGTGTCTATTCTCTTGAGTAGATCTACAATTTTTTCTGCCTTTTCAAATTCTAAGATCAGATAAATGTCCAAGCGCATAAAGTCACAAAGCATGAATAGGCTAACTATGATGTTCATGGCATTTTGGTAATTATGCATTACTGCCATGTCGGTTTTTTGTTAATGGCTACCTTCTTTTAGTAACACCAGTCAATAAATGAATGCACTCAGTCAAATGTCTTTTCCTTAGTTTTGATCGTAGATTGTGTTTGATGAATGCCATCGGGCTAAGAACTTGTGTCCGACTGGATCGGCAAAGCCAACAAAAACCGGTCAAACTGTCCTAGAACTGCAGAAGAAATTGCCCAAAGCTCGAGTGATCTACGCTTCTGCAACAGGAGCATCTGAGCCACGCAACATGGCATACATGATACGTTTGGGCATATGGGGTGAGGGTACGCCGTTCCCAGAGTTCATGGATTTCATCGGTGCTGTGGAAAAACGAGGAGTTGGTGCTATGGAAATTGTTGCGATGGACATGAAACTGAGAGGAATGTATATAGCAAGGCAACTTAGTTTTCAAGGTAGGAATCTTGTGTCTCGTGATTATGGTTTAATTATAGCCTTATAATTAAACCCAGTCTCAGGATGTTAGGTTCCTGAGAAAGTTGAGCCACAGGCACTAGTATTCTTAGCATGCCTTTTAAGAGCCCTTGAAAGTGTGAGTGAATATTCGCAGTTCCAAGAGTCCTTCCATCAAAGTTTAGTGGTTAAATACTTTGCTCACTAGAATTTCCAGGAATGTATCCAGAACGGGTGAAGTGCCCATTCTGGTCTAGATACCAGCTATATTTTACACCAAACTAATTTTTTTTTTTTAACATTCAAGTATTAATGAGGTAACTTTTCCCCCTGTTTCAACATTTTAGCTGCTCAAAGTTTTTTTTTCATCTACCTTTTTTTGCACCCTCCCTCCCTCTCTTCAAATGCCTGTAAAACTATGCAGCAGACAGTCTGCCATACTTTACCAAGATGAACTATTTGTATGTAACAGATTTAAATTGAGAGAAAATAGTGTCATGATTTTGCTAGACTCACCACTGGGCAAGATTGATTATTTTATGAGACTAATTTCACAAGGCAATGCTTGAATTAAAATCTTGGTCTTTTTTGCGTGTAACTTAGGTCTGTTTACACAACCCTACTTTTTTGTACGGAGCAAACACCGTCAGACTAGGCATTAAGGGGATGGTACAAACTTCTCCCATCGTTCAGAGAGATTCTTCCAGCTTTCTGTTGTTATTTGTCCTGTAATTTAAATTTAATGAACAAAAGATTTAAACAATATAAATGGATTCTTTTTTCGTAGGAAACTACAATGTACCAGCTAATTCATTACTTCTGATTTCTTTAAGGTGTAACATTCAAAGTCGAAGAAGTTCCTTTGTCTGATGAGTTCAAAAAGATCTATGATGACTCAGTAGCGCTGTGGGTTGAAGCAATGCAGAAATTCACGGAAGCTGGCGAGCTAATAGATGCAGAAAACAGGATGAAAAAGACAATGTGGGGTCAGTTTTGGTCTGCCCACCAACGCTTCTTTAAATATTTGTGCATTGCGGCAAAAGTCAAACACGCTGTGGAGATTGCAAGGGAAGCTGTCAAGTGTGGTAAATGTGTTGTTATTGGTCTCCAGTCGACAGGAGAAGCCAGGACTTTGGAGCAATTGGAGAAAGATGATGGTGAACTGTCTGACTTTGTATCCACTGCCAAGTAAGATTTCATAGTCATTCATTTTTATTAAATTAGCAGAGCATATTAGTCCTTGATCTCTTTTACAACCTGATTGCAGTAGACGTCCGAGTCATGTATACAGAGAATTGGTGATGTAGCCAACGTCTCTTTTGATCCAACCAATGGACTACTGGAGGAGGATTGAAATTGAGCATCTTGTTACCTTGTCTCATCAAAATGCCATGAAGGTTCAGATAAAAAATTTCTAACTACTTTTGCAAGTGAGGGATTAATGAGTTTGTGTAGAAAGAATAGGATTTCTTTGGAAAGCGGTTTCAATGTTAGCAACAATTCTTTATATTGTTTTTATAGGCGAAGAAATAGAATCATACATTAATTATGACACAAGCCATTTCAGCTTTATCAATGAGGATAAAAAGTGAAGGTAAACATACCTGCAGCCGTTTGAATATGAAAGTTTACTTCTCACCACTAAAATTTACACCCTATAAATTGCATGGCTCAGATGATATCTTTTAACATTTCTTTTGAATCTTTCAGGGGTGTCCTGCAAACTTTGGTGGAGAAGCATTTCCCTGCGCCTGATCGCAACAGAGTCAACCGACTTCTGGGCATGGTCGAAGGTTCTGGTGTCTCAAGAAAAACGCCCAAAACAGCTAAGCAAAGCAACGGAAATCTCTCACCAGACGAGCCGAGCCCATCAAGTGGCCAAAAGCGTAAACCAGTGCGGCAGGCAGCTGCGCGAGCATCGAAAAGAGTTAAAGAAGCCAGTGATTCTGATCTTGATGGGGAAGAAGACTCTGACTTTGATATGTCTGATGAACCTGCTGTGTCAGAAATGTCTGAAACTGATAATTTCTCCAGTGATAATAATCCTTTTGGAGAGGATAGCGACTCAGATGAACCTTGGGTAATAACACAGTTGCTTTTTATTTGCTGTCTCTAAAGCCTTTGTACCCATCCTCATTTTTTCAAATTTTTGATGACATAACATATTTCTATTGTGATGTTTGACCTCTGACTCTTACAATTCCATGTTGCGATATTTCCTTTTTCATAGATTTTTCACAGAATTGTAAAGTAAATGGAATTTTTTTGAAGAAGAAGTCAAAACGGTATATTCATCCTCCTCCAAGAGTATAAATATTTTACATGAGCGGCCCGCATTAATGATTTTTTTGCTTTCTAGGTTAACAAGAAGACAAAAAAGAAAAAAAAGAAGAAGAAACAACCTGTAAAGAAACGTCAGACAACTCAAGACAAACTGGATGATATCATCAAGCGATGTAAAGTCAACGATCGAGCTAATCTCCAGCAGCTGAATCCAAACGTCTATGCTCCAGGTCGAGCTGCCATAGAAAGAGCCTGTGAAATGAAAGAAGAACTCCTGGAGAAAATTGAGGAGTTAGGTGAAAAACTTCCTCCTAACACGCTTGACCAACTTATCGACGAGTTGGGTGGACCTGAAAATGTTGCCGAGGTAAATTTTACTGATTACTTTTAACATTTCAACCTGTTCCTTTATAATGGAGGTTTTGCATGCTACAGGAATTTGCAATTCAAGTACTTCTTTTTCATGAAATTTTGCACCAAAAACGTTAGCATGACTGGTTTTTTCTGATAGGAACTCCCGTAGACCTTTCCATGAGACTCCTGCAAGGCCATAATTGAGAAGATGGTCTGCAATACGGTGAGAGTCCCTTTCTAGATCCAATCAAACTTTCCATGCATAAATACAAAGAAAATATCTCAGTAGGGCTTCTGTGGCTGCAGTCTTGAAGTCATAATGTGAAATGGTAATCTTGATTTGCGCCTGGAGAGTTTAACTGCATAAAGAGGCAGAATCTGTAATGTAGGTGTTCCCCACCATTACAGCTTTAATTGTGAGAACTCTTTTTGAGCTTAGGGGTTCATTACAGAGAAAAGCAGTCGCACTACAGTAATTTCACATAAGAAGAAGTACCTTGGCCTCAAATTGCTGTAGATTGCATGAGCTCCATTATTATATTCTCTTTTTTACTAAGCCATATGACTTCAATCAACAATCAGTAACATTGGACCCCTCTGAATAGCCTCCAAACTTACGAAATAACACTGAAAATTGACAAAACAAACGTTTTCACCATGTTATCCTTTAAAATACCAGGGTAAAGTTCGGATTCAAAACTGAAAGTTTTTAATTTTTTATAATGAAGAAAAGGCAACACCTGAAAAGCCATGTTTTTAGCCGAGATTTTTATCAAGTTGAATAGAAAAAGCAGGTCTAAAGTTTTCAGTAGAAAACTCCTTCAGCGTTTTAAAGAATTGATTGCAATCAACTTACGATGAGTTCATTTTTTTTCCTCAATTTAAATCAGAGGCTCAAAATTTAATTTTATCGCTACAATTGAAAGCTCTGAACTTCATAGATAAAATCTTTAACCACATTTGTTTTGAAACTTGGAATGTTGAAAAGCTATTTTCAAACTGGCTTCACTCTTCTCTGTGTGATATTTCTAGGGGTTTGTGTTGCCAAAATTGTATTAAAAGCTGCTCCAAACTATGGTGGTAGTATCTCAATTTTCAGTCTTCCATAGTCTCTTCCTCCATAAATTCATTTATTTCTGTCAGAAATTTCATAAAAAGCACAATGTGGTCCCATTATTAGAAATTAGTAGCCTGAGTGAGGCAGTTCATTGTTAGTTTCTTAAGTGAAATAAAACCAATTTATCATACCACATGGAAAAACTATCTCTTAAGAAGTGTTAGAGTGGTCATTTTCCTCCTCTGAGCATTGACAAGTTTAGCAACTTGTGACAAAACAATCGTAATTATTAAGACATCGACCCTAATTCTTGAGATGTGTTAAAATGTGACTCCCGAAACCTTTAAAGTGTTTGAAGATAATGCTTCATATTAGTAAAATTTTAAATTCATACGTTGTTTTTTTAATGTTGCAGATGACAGGTAGAAAAGGTCGGGTAGTTTCAACTGAAGATGGTGGTATTCAGTACGAATCTAGATCAGAGGTGGATGTTCCTTTAGAAACTCTTAATCTTACAGAAAAGCAGCGATTTATGGATGGAGAAAAGGATATTGCAATCATTTCCGAAGCAGCTAGTTCTGGAATTTCACTTCAAAGTGACAGGAGAGCAAAGAATCAAAGACGAAGAGTCCATATAACCTTGGAATTACCGTGGAGTGCTGACCGGGCAATTCAACAATTTGGCCGAACGCACAGGTCAAATCAAGTCAATGCCCCAGAGTATATTTTTATGATATCAGACCTTGCTGGAGAAAGGAGGTTTGCATCCATAGTGGCCAAAAGGCTGGAGAGTCTGGGTGCTTTAACGCATGGTGATCGTCGAGCAACAGAAACGCGTGATTTGTCGCAGTACAATATCGACAATAAGTATGGACGATCCGCGCTGGAGTCAACAATGAAAACAATCATGGGATATGAATCGCCGATGGTGCCCCCGCCAAAAGATTACAGTGGTGACTTCTTCAAAGATGTAGCGGACGCTTTACTCGGAGTTGGATTTATAGTTAATAGCGAATCAAATCCTGGTGTTTTAATGTTAGATAAAGATTATAATAATATGAGTAAATTTTTGAATAGGATTCTTGGCTTACCAGTTGAGTTGCAAAATAGGCTGTTTAAATACTTCACGGACGTGCTAGAATACATCATTAGGCAAGCAAAGAGGGCTGGTCGTTTTGATCTCGGTATTCTTGGTAAGTTCTTCATATACCTTCCCACAGTCATTTCTGAATTAATGATAATTTTTCTCAAGTTTGAAAATAAAAGCTGCTGAAACTGTGTTGCAAAGGAGGACAAAATTCACAGGTCATGAAGCATCGCAGGGCTCTTAGTTTTGCCCTGTGAAATTCTATACAACATAATAGCAGCTTAGAGCAGTAGTCTTAACCAACAATTTGTAAAGTAAAGTCTTCAACTTTTTCCATCAGGTAGAGAAAGAAGCTGTGCGTGTGAAAAATTTAGTAGCAACATCTAATTCCAGTTGCTAAATGAAAAATTTTAAAAATTGTGAATAATTGGCATTTCTTGTAATGTCTTGAAGTGGAGAAAGTATGTTCACGATCCATCCGCTCTGAGCTATGGATGCATGTTCGCAAGTTTTCTTCTCATGGTCACTTCCTGCATTTGTTGCACCCCTGACATCCTCTCTAACATTGTTCAATAGCTGTGAAAAAATCAGACAAGAATTGCGTTAGCTTAGCCTCCTGTGTCCTCAATATCATTTAGAAGTTTGAAGTTTAAAAGTTTCTATGTGCCAATTCCATCTCATTTATCACTCATTATGAATGTATCTAATACCTTGGTACTTAAAACTTCACCAATCTATTTGATGGGCCAATTTTAATATGTACAAGGTAAAAAGTGAAGTTTAGGAATATGAACCAGTTCCTTCAATAAGCAAGAATGGATGGGCAAAAATATAGAGTTGAGAAAAGAGAGAATCAAAACAGAAAAGTTTGCAGAATTCTTCAAAGTAAAAACTGTTTGTGTGAGTGTAAGGGGAAGATCTCAAACCACGTTTTTGCACATAGCTGTTCTGCTAGAATTACAGCTGATACTTTCCCTCATACGTTTTCGTTCATTTAACCCATTGACTTATGATTTAATGGACCCTGCCAGGCCAGGAATTAGTATTTAATTTGGCGAAAATTGGAGATCTTGAACACTTCAAAATAATCCTAAAACTCCTTCTCTGAGATTAAAAATCCATGTAATAAGCATTCACAACACAAAATTTGAGGAAAATGGTGAAAACCTGAAATAAAATTATTTTTTACTGTTGTTTATCACTGTCAAAGTCACGAAAATCGCAGAATTAGCGAAAATAAAAAAATGTTGAGGTTATTTCATGATCAAATGTAAAATAATATACAAATACTGTAACAAAGCAATAAACTACCATACATAACAAGACATAGGTTGGTCACACTACTCATGTAAACATTGATGAGAACGATATCTACCATAGAATCGCGGAAGTAATGCAAACAATTAAATTTCGAATCGACAATCCCAGCCGTCTCTTCAGATTTGGCCCAGCTCAGACCGCTGGGAGCCATCAGTTTAAGTCAATGGGTCAACCAAGCTTGGAAAATTATTTCTCTTTTATTCTTTTTTGTTTTCATTGATCAAACTGACTTTAACATATCCGAACTGTGATTTTATGTCTTTTAATCAAATGGATCTACTTTACCTCCCTCCCATTTTTAGACTTGGGCGCAGCTGGTGATAATGTGAAGCAAGTTAAATTGTATAAATTCCTCCGTAAACATGCCACCGGCGAAGCTACGTCCACATTGCACATAGTTCACGTAGAAAGAGGTATGTCCTGGGATGACGCATTATCCAAATGGTCAGAACTCACAGGATCACACGAAGGCTTTTATATATCAAATCAAGTAAGTTTTGTACAAGGTTTCAAATGACTTTTTCCGTTTACCTAATTATTTTTAGTGTTTCAGTTTCCCCATCTATACTCTTGCAGCCGAAGTTTTACTTGATAATAGGAGAAGAAAACAATTGTTGCAAATTTATTACTTCAAAGGAGTACCAGACAGTGACAAAATTGGACGTATTTATGCTGAAAGGAACTAAAGACGTGTGGAAACGATGGGGTATGCTCGTGCAAGCGGCATAAGAAACAATGTAAGAGTGGGCGTGATTCCTTTCGGGAAAATAAGTCAAAAGGAACTAAGCACCAAAATATGCTAACCCATAAGCTGTGGGCATGTGACAAGAGTATTGTCAGATCTGTGGATTGTCATGCCGGTTGTCATCGCTGACATCACTGGCACTTCATAATTCCCATTTATTCTTAAGGTTCTCAACTAATGAGCATTTTTCTTCTTTTCCACTCATCTGTGGTTCCTTACATTCCTTTCTTACATTGTACTTCAGCATTAACTTATTTGCCAAAACAGGGAATTCCCAGGGAAAATGGAACCCTATGAGAGGCAAGAGAGTATAGCTTTTTTGGCCTCGAATCGGTAAAAGAAAAAAAAAAATTATCTGATCCAACTGAGTACCTAATGCAAGTTGAAATTGAAAATTAAATAAAATTATTCTCATTCGAATATTCAAGATTTTTGGAATTTTTGCCCAGTCCTATTGTTGATTTGTCTAAAATCAGCTCATAAGAGAGGGACTATCGTTCACAGCTCAAATCGGAATCAACTTACTCAAACTTTTTCGTTGCTAGAAAAAGCATAATCATCATCATTTCTTAGAAAATTTTGGCCCCCCTCCCCCCTCCTCCCTGGTGAAACCTAAAAGTTAAGCGGAAAATAACTGATAAGCCGCAACTCAAGAATTTTGTATTACAATTCCAATTTCACTTTTTTTTTATCCAGGTCCGCAGTGGCAAGAAGCATGCGATTTTAGCAGTATCAGTAGACTCAACTGAAAAAAGTGGAAAGAAAAGCTCAAAAAAAGAGAAAGAAGTTCCTTATTTGCTATACCGACCGAACACTGGTTTACAGGTAAAATTCAATTCTAATTGTTTAATTAAATTCTTTTCATATATTATAGAAGAGCTTTAATATCAGCATATCCTAGATTGCGTTGACCTCTTCAAGATTCATCGCCTAGTTCTCTTGCAGTTTCTTGTTTGATTCAGAACATTTCCATAGAAACTTGTAAAAAATTACACTTAAATGGAGAATTTGCATGCAAATTTTTTATTTCTTCATCTGAAAGTGCCCTAAGAGCTGATTCTGCAGTATTTTTCTTAAATATTTTTCTGATATGGGAAATAGTATAAAAATAAATTTTAAAGTAAGAAAAGGCACCGCCTAATGATGTCACCTGGAGGCATTTCCCATTTAAACACATGTATTTTAGCAGATTAGGTTATTTTGTCGTATTTCCTCCAATAATTGTTTGATTTATGAAGCAAGGGTATCAGTATCCTCGAGTTCAGCTCACTTGGTGGCATCCACTATAACACAGACTTTATCAAATTTCAGACACCTGCAAATTCTCCATTCCTCTGTCTCTCTTTCGCTTGAAGGAGATGTATTTGCAGGAAAAAGAACAACTTGTTTTGCTTAATAGCTGTAGAATGGACGGATAGATTTTCTTTAGCTTGTGGGGGACAGAGGCTTCTTTGCCCAAATGGGCACGCCCCATGGGTTAAGAGCCCTCTTACACCAACCTCTTCAGTAGCTCTCTTGTAATGTGCTGATCAATTTATCCTTTTCAGGTGAAGCAAGAAACGCTAGGTGAATTACAAAAAAAATACAAGAAAGCAACCTCAGATGATGCTCAGTCTCATTGGACCGAACAGTACGAGTCGGCAGAAAATACTTGTTCTCATGCTTATTGGTAATTTCTTTTTTCTTCCTTTTTTGTTCTTTTGACTTTCATTGAAAGTCATGATTTGTCTTTTTGAAGGCTAGACTAGCTGATCCTGTTCAGCTGATAAGATTTGCTCCTCATCAAGTCAGAACCGAAGTGAACTGGTTTTAAAGTTGTTTTCCTTCATATGACTGAATTTAAACAGGTCAATTTTAAAACCTTATTCTGTCTATCAGATAATTTGTCCTGTTTTTTAAATTCTCAATAGGAAAAAATTTGCGCCCAGTGGAGCGCACAATCACTCAACTATGGTGTAAGTAGGTATTGAAGAATCCTGACAAAGTAACGCACAGAGAAGTTGAAACTTTGGATAAGACAGATTTTTTTTTTCAGTCCTGCCAATTTCCTCATCCATTTAATGTAATTGGTTTCAGATAATTTTTTGTATGTTAATACTTAATTTTTCACTCTAATGCTAATTTTTTTTGGCTTTGATTTCCCCGCAAAATAGTGTGAACCCAGCACTGTTCTACCATATTATTACTTGAGCTAGCTAATTTAGCATCATCTTGTCTGAATTGATTGAACCAAATTCTTTTTTTATGTTTTCAGGGGTGGAAACTGCAAAATTGTCACTCTAGGTGGTGATTGTGATGTGGGTCTCAGGAGGAGAACGTACCATGTTCTGTCTGGATCTGTGCTCAGTGTATGGAGTAGAGTAGAGAAAGTATTAGCAGCCAGGAGTGGTGCAAATGTAAAAATGCAAGTCATTCGGTTGAAAACTAGTGAAGGAACCAAAATTGTCGGTTAGTATCCATCATGTTCATGAACAGCACTTATTTTTGTACATTCTGAGTGCATATTTGTAGTGCAACATTCCGACAGATCTATTTCTTTCTACTACTAAGCAAAACACTTTTCCAATGAACACAGTCTGTAGAAGGCTCCCAGATGACATGACTCATTTACCGCAGGTATCAAACCAAGATTGCGGAGTCATGTTCCAGTAAGGTTCTGTGCAAGGATGTTTGATTCCTTCAGTGAAAGTAGAGGCAAAACTGAAAATCGTAGGAAAGGGACCTTTACTCTCTAATAAAATAATGAGAAGGATAAGTGATGTCTCTTTTTGCTACACCAGAAATAGTCAACAGTACAACATTCTCTTTTGTGGCTGGAATTGTCAAAATACATTATGCAATGCAAGAGGGCTCCAGGAATCATTTCCTGCCCAACAAAAACAAACAAATGAGCTAGCCAATTATCCTGAAAATTGCATTTTTGAAAAATGTCACCGAGAACTGAGGAAACAAATTCTGAGACATCTTGTTTGTTTATTCGGTGCATCTTCTCATTCTTCAGATATTGAAGAAACACCTTGACCTCAGGCCTAAGTTGAGTTTCTAGTACCTCTATGCAATTTTCTTTGCGATGATTGAAATATTACCCAAACTGTTGTATGTAATTTAGTTTTTCTTTTTTTTTCTAGGTACTATTATCCCCAAATCCTGTGTGGAGCTATTACGCAAAGATCTTTCAGAGGATGCCGAGAAAACATGCGAAGAAACATTCTAAATGTCTCTTTAATCTCTTGGCCATGTGCATAAATTATTGTAAAATTTGTCCCTCCTCTCTTTATTTTGTCAATTTCATTGTTTTTCAAATTCCCTTTTTGTTTTTTACAAATGATGTTTTTCATCTAGAGCCTCTTCGTGCCCCGCTTTTCATTACTATCACTAGGAAGACAGTGCATCCGGACGTAACCACAAGGGAATGCAGAAGTTGCAAATGATATTAATCATCTCTGACTTACGCAATTGTTTCAATTAATTGATTTTACCTAGTATAAGTTTGTAATCCAAATGCACAGACATGTCATTGCAAGAAGCTTCTCAAAACATCAAGCAATTTTTCCCAGCCAACGAGACACTCAAGCTCAGTTTTACAAAAGGAAATATATAAATAATGAAGAATATGAGAGTGAGTCAGACTGAACCAGCCTTCACTGGTCACGCAAGCCTTTTTAGAGAACACTTTATTAACTAGGGCGATTGAAAAGATAATTCTAAATAATGAAAAAATCTAATATCCGGTTGACATTATTTTTGAAAGTTCAAAATTTAACTGAGTACAGCAGTCAATTCACATATAATTTAATTTTTTTGACTCTTTGGCTCTGATGCTCAAGATTAAATTGTTTCTGAACGAAAGTTCCACAGTTTCGTCAGCAAAGAGAAGAAAGTTATTATTCTCATAAAGGCTTCATGGTTAATCTTACTATCAGTACTCCAGCACTATCTTTCAGAATTACATTTTATAAAGACATCCAGTTGTTGGTTTCATTTGCAAATTGAATTCTTTCTTTCATTTGCTAACTTACTTTCATGAAAAATGATAATGTAGCCATTCAGGAAATGAAATTCAATGGTTTTTAAACTCGTATTCGTTCTTCTTCATTGCCACTTGTTTTAATGTCAAAATTTTGTAATTTTCTCCAAGTGATCTTCAAATTAATGTTTAACGATCCTACAAAAATCTACTAATTCGTCAGGAAAGTTTATAAATGTTTAAAGCTAAAATGATACTTTATAAAAGAAATGCTGGCTTGCCCATTTTTTACATTCTTCTGAGTTTATTTCCTCCCCAGCAGAAAGGTTTGAGTGGTTGTTATTTTCCCTTTGAACTTCCAAAATCAAAAGAATTTTCCAACCTGATCACATCCATGACATCTCTGACAAGTTGACAGGTTGGAAAACTGGCAGTCTCCATCTCGTAGTATGTAAATCCTTAATTTTCCTCTTTCCTTCATTTTCCGCTACTTACTATCTCACCTAGTATTAATCTTTGTATTATATGTCGTATGTACCTAGCCTCTATCTCGTACTCAATCTCAAACAGTTTCAAATCCTCAATTGAAACTGCCACGATGTAAGGTAAATCACCAATTCTTTTCAGCTTGAAGAACTCTCACTTTTTATTTTTCAAGATCTTCCTTCCTCTTGGAGATACCGCAAGATGTATTGACAGTGGAAGTACAAAAACACGTATGTCGTTTGCAGCAGTTTAAATTCACCTCTGCCATTTAATTTTTTGAAGTAAAACAAGGAACATCATTGTTTGAAATTTTTACTAATTATTCTGTGTAAGACAAAAAATGACATGTAAAACCTTCAACAAAAAATTGTTCATAAGTAAATTTTTCCCTGAAAAATTACTTGCGAAATTGAGATGTGTGTTTTTAACTTCCATTGTCACAATTAAAAGCAGAAGCGCCCCATATCGTTAAGCAACAGTGAGGGTTGTGCTGTCCAGTGAGGTGAAATTTGCTTCCCTGTGCTTTTTTCCTTTCTTTTTTATCATTATGATTTGTCTGTAAATATTTGATGTAAATATCGTAAGTTATTTGAATAGCATACTTGGACACTTCGATTGTTCGAAATTGGGAAGCTAGCAAAAGTCTCTTTTGTTTTCCTTATTTTCCATTCTAATAGGCCTTATCAAATGCACGCTAGGCTAGTTTAAGTTTAATTTTGTCAATTTTCTCTCTCGGTATTTTTTTTAAGGATTGAACTAGACTTCAGGAAGCTTCCCATTGACTTGTTCCTTAATATTCCTAAAGAGGTTAGAAATAAATAAATTGATCATGGTTGCCTGATCTTCTGGGCTCTTTTTTCCTCTGCTTGAACCAAGCACTTTCATGTGAATTTGGTGACCTTAAAAACGGCAAATTTAATAAACGCTAAGCCAGGAAGGCAAATCTTTATTTGTAAAATGTATCATAAAATGTCATTTGTTGTAATTTATTTTTATCTCTCAAACTAATTCACAGCAGTTGAGCAGTTTTGCTTTGTATTCCTTTTAACTCACACATACTCAACTTCACTCACTGTGAATCAATTTGATCATTGCTGCTTTGGTGTATAACTTGAGCTTATTGGAAACAGATGGTTTCCAAATAAAGTCATGTGGTGCTTAGACCTAATAAAATAGAAAACCATTGAGTCCAATATTGTTCCTTTTTTAAATATTGAACGGGCAAATCTTCATATCTGACTACTAGTTAGTCCTCTTGATTCTTGATTAATTGATAATGTGATTGAATTCATCATTTCTCAAAATTCACTTTTTCAGCTGTGTTAATTGGATGTTCATAATTTTAGTCACAGTACTTGAGTTTCTTGTTAAATGCTTCTGGCTGTAATTTCTAATGGACCTCTTAAGTAGTAAATATCTTCTTTGGGTCATACTCTTCAAACCAGACAGAAACTTATTTGGTTATCTAATGGCACAATTGAGGACATTGCACCAAGAACAACCTATAACTGGAAACCGCGTTTTGAGAAAAACGCATTTAAAGTTTTGTTTTTGATGTACTGCGCAGACTTTTCAATGCAGGTACCCTGTTTTGGTGTTTTTGGGTGACCTAACCCTCCTACTGAAGGATGCCGGGTAGATTTTGCGATACATTTTGGGTTTACGCTCTAATATATTTAATTTAAAAAAGCGGTTTATAGGTCGTTATTACGTCCAACAGTCATTTTAGTGGCAATATGCAGTATAAATCATTTTAATCACGCATGATTAACGCAAAATAAAAGAATATCGATGGTGAGTATAGAGAGGGGTAACTAGCACATTATAGGCCCTTAAATTTATAGGCCCGTATTACGCCCAACAGTCATTTTGGTGGCAAAATGCGATACATTTTTGGAGGAAAGGATAGTTTGAGAGGAGAATAAATTATTTCAATAGCTCGTTTTTCTGAAATAAAAACAAATCTTTATAAAATGAGATCAAAAAATCGAGCCATCACTATCGCCGCGCCGCGCCGCGCCGATGCCCGCTAACCGAGAATGATAAGGCCGCGCGTATAGGTCGTTCTTGCACCCATCGATCCAGAGGCCTGACTTGCCTCGGAAAAAAAGGTTTTTCGACCTCGAGACGTTACCTATCTATATTCTATCGCTACCACAGCATAGTCCAGGGTACGTAGAATCCGAAAAGCAGATTGGCGTAATAACGACCTATACGCCTATAGGTTGTTCTTGGTGCGGTGTCCTCAATTGCTGTTATACACATTGTGCTGTTTTAAAAGTAATCAAACACTCAATAACTCAGTTCCAAAAAATATTTTGATTTGTTTTGGTAGCTTTATCTCTGAATGGTTCCGTCTTTTCGCACAATGCCTTGATTCATGCCATCCAGCAGCTTTCAGCATTACCACTCACATACTATTATAACTCAGCTGCTTAACATTTGTGAATTTTGTGTTACTCAAAACAAATTTCATTTTTCTTTTTTTAAAATAACGAAACGAAGATATTCGTTTATCTTATCTTATCTGATACAATATAGTGTATTCAAACTCACCAACTTCTTCAAATAATTCAAGAATTGGAAAATTACTCTTCAAGTTTCTGCGTCCTATCAGTGCCACTCTTTTCTCTACCAGTGAAATACACCCCATGCAAACTACATAAAAGTATGAATTTGATAACTTGACATAAGATGTTAGGAAAGGAAACTCTTAAAGGTGACTGAAAAAAATATTAAAATGAAACAAAAGAATTACAATTTTATCTATCTTTTGATTAGGTCATTTATTCCAACAAAATGTTCCCCCAACATAAATTTTGGTTAAGTTAACTATTTAGTGCTTTGTAAGTCTAATTTAATGATTAACAACATTGGCCTCACGCCAGCATATTGTTTCAAGGTTAAATAGAGCATTTTCACCTCTTTTCTCTCCCTCCCCCCCACTCTCCCTATGTTTCACTAGTTTTTGTTGTTTCCCTTCTAACTAGTCTTTTTCTGTACTCATTTAGTAATTCCACTTTAGAATTATAGGATCAAAATTTTTAGTTTATGTATGGCCTCCTTCCTTCATAATTATTATTACGTTTACTTTTTTTGTTTTTCTGTTGAAATTAGTTTTCTTTGTAAACTTCTTTAGAAATTACTTATTAAACTCGAAATTTTTTATTCTAATGATCTAATTTTGTAGTATCTTAACTATATCATCTTAATCCACCCGGAGTCTTGGCAAGAAATTTCAGCCCTTATTTTTGGCGTTTTTAAAGCCAAACTGTCTGTATAGCATCACTTAGGTGGTATTCTGTCAGCTTGATATCATCCTAAAACTCCGTATTGATTTGCAAAAACTGTCAAACAGCAATAGCTGCACATTGTTTTTGTATCACGTGTAAAAGCCTAGCCTTTTCAGTCAATTGGCATAAGAATGATAAAACCAAAAATGTCCAAATCTCGACTGAAGTGAAAGAAAACAAACTATCATTCAAGCTTGAAATTTCTTGAGAGTATTTTTAAATGCGCAATGAGGATACATGCTAAAGTTCTCAATTGAAAGCTTTAGGTTTACATCATTGAAATAAGACTGGTACCTAAGGAAAGCAGCACCATAAACAAAATATCCGTTGGTTTTTTATTTGGCTATAGACCACCTATAAATAACCTAAAAACTGACCTAACTGATGATTTTGAAATGTTGCAAGCTACTTTTCCACGATTCAATTTTTTGAGATCCAGTCATGTTAATGCACTAATTACATCTATCTGATTTTGGAAGCTATACCTAGTTTTTCAGTGTAAGTATATCAGATGAAATTTTATTCCCTCCTCGCAGTGAAGGGGAGAAATATACATTTTCTAATAAATAATAATAACAAAAATTGTTTCAAGAAGGAACAGCACGAAAGAAAAAAAGATCAAATTACTAAGGGTAGGTTGAGAATGAGCTGGGTACAAGCACTTTTTCAAGCAGAACATAGTAGAGCTGTTTCATCTCAGCCTCTACAGACATTCTTTATTTTTGGTTTTCTGTTTCTTTGTTTTTTTCTTCTCTTTTAATATAGCAATGTTCACTCTTTGTTCCAAGAGCGATGGAGTTCCAATCTTGTTTTTAAATTTTCACCTTTTTGATAACATACTGTATTACTGGCGCTTTCACCCTTTTCCTCCCCATCCGCCTTATCGACGGTGTAAATCGGCAAAAACACAACTCGCTTGCAGTGTCTGAAACTCTCCGCCTCTATGTTATTTTTTAAAGGAGAACAAATTGACATCATGCCTTGAAGTTTTCGCAGAATTTTCTTCCCACAGATGAAAAATTACAGCAGTTTTAAAGAATTGCTGTTGAATAGTTTTTCGTTTAAAAAATGAAATATGCTAGGAAGTCTGCGACGTCGCAAACCGATTTGTGTGATTGTCGACTTACACCGTCGATATGTAACTTTCCCAGAAGACCAGGAGAGATATTTGGATCAGCTTAGTCTAGATTGAGATTTCAAGGTGTACTCGTTCATAAGAAAATTTCCTGACACAGTATAACTCCCCAAAATACCAATTTTTAGACGTGCTAAGACGTGGAACCTGAGAGGGCTCCACAATGTATTCTTTTTTCAATACGATTATTGATTTGGAGACATCGTAGCATATTTTGAGCCAACGTAACCTGAACTTGTCTCATATTTTAAGAATAAGAGACTCCTTAACGCGCTTTGATGACGCCGCAGAGATACGACGTACAAGAGACAGCACCTTCAATTATAGTCGAGTTAAGAGAGAAACCAAACACGCAATTTTGCCTGGAACGGCGCGACTTAGAGAGAAATGATGACGAGGACTTCAGATGAAAAGGAGAAACCCTCGGCGTGGCGATCGGCATTTAACATATATTAGCGCCTACAAGACTGCACGAATACTTCACGCATTGCATCAAACACAGTCCGGTCATTGCGGTCAGCGTGAAACGGATAGCGCCTACAAGAATGCATGCATACTTCACGCATTGTCGCAAACTCAGTGCGATCAGCGTGAAACGCATAGCGCCTACAAGACTGCGTGAATACTTCACGCATTGCGCCAAACACGGTGCGGTCTGCGCGGCGCGGCGGCGGAAGTTAAAATCATTAGTCCACATTTATGTTTGTTCTTTCATCATTTTTTCGTTCATTTCTTATGAACGGAAGGCCTTGTCCACACAGAGATAGGTTAACTTTCGCGCAAAGTTCCGTGAACTTTTGCTAGTAATGTTGCCAGGGCTTTCCCAAAAAATGTGTCCAGCACGAGTAAACGCGTCTTATGCACCCTTCCCCCGCACGCACGTTCACTTGATGGTTTTTATTAATGTTTCAAAACGAATGAGAAGGGGGCGGCAAAATACAGGCGGCCCATGGGCGGTAAGTAGATAAATCCGGCCCTGCGTCTTTTTAGGAAGCTTCGGGTCAGTGCTTGGACATTTAAGGGTTGAAAACCGAGATCACGGTGAAGCAGCGTAGGTACCTACCTATATTAGTGATTAATACGGTTGCACATAATTATTTGACGAAAATAACGAAGCACCAGCAACGCCTTCATCGTGAAAAGATACTTCCTAGCGTGCCACCGCAGCTAGGCCGAACACTTGCATCTCTCTCTCTTCACCGTAAAATTATCTCTTCACCCAAGTACCTAAATTTTTAGACTTTAAGACCAAGTTCACCAGAGAGGAACCAGTCCGCATTTTGGAAAAAATAGAGTTAAGAATGTTTTTGAGTTCCACTAGTTGTATATATCCCCCTACCAAAAACTCGAAGTCGAGAAAAAAACATTAGTCTATGTTAAGAGAGGTTTAAGTTTGTTTTCTACCTTGAGCCTTACGGAGAAACGCAACTTCAAACCTCTTTTTCTCGGTTTCAACTTTATGTGGGTTGGTTCCTTTCTAATAAACTCGGTCCATTTTACGGTCTGAAATTATTTTAGTGAGCAGGTTCATCAAAGCCCTTCATGTTTCTAGTACAATAAATCAATTCACATCAACTGAACATGTCAATCCGACCATTCCCAAGTAGCATTTTTCGACGGAATAATCGGGATGTAGTGCGATTTTACCGGCGATAAAATCGCCAGGATCATCAACATCTGCGCGATTATCCTCGATCTTATCGGAATAAAATCGCGATTTTATCGCCCGGCAATTTGTCGCGATATTTTCAGAATAAAAATCGCGATAAATGGTGATTTGGACTGCATTTTGCAATTTGGAGCTATAAATTCTGGCTCTTCTGGAAAAACTCTTATATGCATACGGAAACGAATGGCACATACGTTGTCTTTAAACCGGGCTAGAATTTATAGTCCGCCAAATTGCAAAATGTAGTCCATTTAATCTCGATTTTTATCGACGAAAAGTGATCGCGATCGAACCAAAAATTGCAATGTGTAGCGATCTAATCGCCATATATCGCAATTTTTAATGCGACAATATCTCGATGTATTGCCACCGATAAAATCGCTATTTATCGCGATCACTGCTACTCGGGTCATTAAATCCCTAGCTCCCTTTTTTCTGCGATCCAAAACTGCTCCGCTCAAATATAAAATTCCCGCCACGCGCGGAGCCAATTTCCTCGAGTTCTGCCTTGCTAAAGAAGAGCGCCTTATAAACATTCGAGAGTTGCCAAATTTCCTTCAATAAAATGTTTATTTTGGAGAAAAGATACGAATATTTTTCCTTAAAATTTTCAGAGACTTTAAGTGAAATTGCGAACAAAATTCTCTGAAAAATTGGAAGGGAAATGTTCATGAGTTTACCAGGAAATTCTTGTTTTATCAAAGGAAATTTGGCAACGCCTGAAGGTTCGTACGGCGTTCTTCCTTAGCACGGCAGAGTTCCGGCAAGCTCTCCACCGCTGATCAATATCCGCCCCTCGCGCAGACGTGCGCGCCGCCGCATGAAGCTCATCGGCCGCTTCCAAAACACCGAGAGCTCGCCGGATCACACTGGTGTTGAAAATGTAGTCTCCGCTCTTCCTTTTTTATTTACTCGCTGATTTTATTACATATTTTTTCGTTGCAAATGAGCGCGCTGACGTGACGACTTCTGGAGGGAAGAGTCGAAGATGTGCCAGCGCTTGAGCGATTGGAATTATGGCCAGTCTTCCAGTCCTCGGACACAAACGCAACCACATTTGCGGCACCGCGATCATCCAGGTAAGATCCGATTTTCAACTTTCAAACGCACAGTGAGGCGTTTTTTGACCGGAAATTTAGAGGGGGCAGGATTAATTGGACCGAGTTTATCAGAAAGGAACCAACCCACATCAAAGTTGCAACTGAGAAAAAAAGGTTTGAAGTTTTATTCCTCCGTAAGACTCAATGTAGAACGTGAACTTTAACCCCTCTTTTCACGAACTAATTTCTGTTTTTCGACTTTCAGTTTTTGGCAGGAGAAAATATGTGGCTAGTGGAATTCAAAAACATTCTTATCTCAATTTTTTCGAAAATATATGGGTTGGTTCCTTTCTCATAAGCTCTGTCCGATTTAGGGACTTGGAGGACAAGGCGCATCAGTGCAGTTTTTGCTATTTCGAGAAATACGTGTTTGAAGTTATGACATTACACGAAACTTTACAGCGGAAAGAAAGTTCAAATTGACTTTTTGATGCTTAAAATTGGAATTATTGAGAGCGAATTTTTCTCAGAATATGCATTAAGACTAGTTTCACTTGAAATTATTAATATCTCAGTTTTTTTTTTCAAAAATTGTTTTTCTGCGCCTAGTCCTCCAAGCCCCTCAATTTGATACAAACTAGGCATGGAGGCTGCACGTAGTGCTATTTTGCCTTTCAGTTTTCGAGGTAGGCCAGAAAAGGTCCCAAAAGCAAGCGATAGTTCAGGATAATTCAAGACTTAGTGTCTTGCTGTGTCTGTGTTAGGTATGATCGAATTCCAAAAGTAGTAAAACCTAGGTTTGATCAGATGCCCTCCTTGTTTAGCCCGCGCGGTGATACGATAAAAATTCGGGATTTGACGAAGCAGACCTGGGGTTGACCAATGTTCTATTTTGGCTCTCGACTGACTTACCTATTTTCAGAATCAATACACTTATTTTTGAGGAAAATCCATTTACTCCTTTTTCGAATTTACCTGTCAGTCAAGATTTTTTAACTCTTAGGTCTTTTAGACAATTTTTTTTAAAATTTAATTTGTCATCAATGTCACTTTATTTATTTTTCAAACTTAGGTCTCCCACTCGTTTTCCAGTCAAATCTAGGTTCGACTGAGGCCTCATTTCGTCGTTTTCCAGAACGTTGCAAATTTGACTCAAAAAGTCGAATTTTTTAAAAGAATAATACAACCGTGCGATGTCCATCCAAAATTTCCTCTAATTTTTCCGCGTAAGACTAGAAGAAAAACCAGTGACATTGAGGCATTGGATGCGAAAAGGGCGGCGCCTCTCGGTTGCAGTGTATCAGAATCTCCTCGAATATTTCATTCATTGTAAGGGACTAGTGAATGCATCCATTTCACGAAAAATGTCACTGGATATTCCTTATGATTCTATAATTTTCTATGGAAGGATTGCTGGGCAAATCACCATTAAATTCTTCTTCGAAGGATTAATTAGCATTAGAGATACTGAAGCTTTGCAATCGAGAAATGATCTTTTCGCATCCAGACGGGTTGACGCGCGGTGTAGCGCAAATGAACACTAGGGCAGTCAGTGCGCCTTCAATAACACGCCTAGGCAACACGGACAACCGTCAAGCGAGAATAGTTGCACATCAAGGAGTTCGTTCATGCGGCCTGATGGAGAAGTGATGTCAAGTTATGGCTTGTCATAAATTAGCTAACGGCGGGTTGTTTTTTACCTTTGTCCTGATAAACAGGTCGGATGCCGACTGTGGAACGTAAGTGTGATAAGTGTCCTCTTCCTGACCATCTGCAATATAATAATCACGGTTCGGCTCTTCAACGCCACCTACCGGTGCTCCGTGGAAAACAAGCCGCGCAAACACTCTTTCTTCCCAGAATCTAGATATCTTCCTCGACCCACACTCTCCACTTCCACTTCCAGGTATTACGAAAAATCAATCAGTCTTATAACCTACAAGATTTGCATGATTCAGTGTTTCTGAAATTTTAACAGAGAGCGCTTTTTTTTTTTTTTTTTTTTTTTTTTTTTTTTTTTTTTTTTGTCTTGTCCTATATAAGATAGTGAAAAATTCATTTTCTGAGGGAATGCTTGATTATGTGGACCGACTTCAGTAGAACAGAACCAATTGAAATGTTGGAGGGGAGGGGGGTGAGGTAGGTAGTTTTGCACCTAACTATTATAATCCAAAGTTGATATACTTAGGTATAGAACAAATATTTTTAACGCGACAACATCAAGGGGCTAACATTTATCATAACGTCTCGTCCTATGGAGGAATCTAATAGCAGACTGATTTTTCTCGTCCCGGCTAGGTGTGGCTTGGTCTTTTTTCTGCTGATTAAAGTCAGTCCAAATAACAAAGCACAATATGATGAATCTATTATGCACTCAACTACTGCAACTGTGAGTTTATGCTTTTTCAACCATGAATTTGAAATATCTTTACGTCTTTCGGTCTATAAAGGCCGATGTGTAAGAAAGATAGGAAATGAGCAATGCAAAATAAATTATAACTAATTTTAATTTATCATTGAAATGAATTACACTAGGAGAAGCCCCTTCAATTCGTAAGTAGACAACATACACAACACGTTCACGTACTCCGATACAATAGCAATAATTTCACCATGTGATTGCAATTTATTGGGACCTGTGCTACTTGGGAAAAGGAGCCAAAGGTTACTCCAACGTTATTTCGATTGCCATCGAAGATGCAGGTTGCAGTGGTATCTATGCGGGCTGATTGTTGAAATTGGTAGACAAAGCTATAGACAAAGATGACAAAAAGGATATGGAGAAATCTTATTGGTTGAAGTGGGTGGTTGCGATGAACATAGAAAGTAGGCAATAGACAAACTAACGGCAACCCACGAGAGACCCTTAAGTTAGTCCATCATTTTCTTCGATAGTCTATACTGTCATGCTAAGGAAAAACGCAGTATGAGCGTTGCCAAAATTCCTTCGACAAATCACTAACTTTCAAGAAAATTTGTGAATATTTTCCTTCCAATTTCGCAGGTAATTTTGCTCGCAATTTGATCTTAAAAGTCTGCAAATTGCAAGGAAAAATATTGACAATTTTCCTCAAAAACAAACATTTTATCGGAGGAATTCGGCAACTCTCGAATTTGCATACGGCAAGAGCATTCCAATGTCGCTAACCTTACAAACATAAACGATCATCTAAACTAGTTTCACCTCTACTCCCAATAAACTATGAATTCAAGACGAAAATTACCGTCGCAAAGTTTACTTCTTGCACAGAATGTAAGTACCTAAGTTGCACAATCCCAGCAACATTGAAATGCTCTTAGTTCCTTTTTGGAAAGTGCGATCCAATTGGTTGTTGCTGCAAAAAAATAGTTACCCACAACCTGCTATACAATGCTCCAGTGACCATGTAAGTTGGCCCGAGCACTAACTATTTTCGGGAAGAAAGCCTTTCCCCTACCTGGTTTCTCACTTGATATCCGCCCGAGTTTTGCATATCTACCGTTTCTCCTCATCGCAGCTTCCATCAAACCGCAATTGCCCGGAAACTAGGACCGCACATCTTATCTGATAAAATCGTTCGCCCTTTAGACCGATTCTGAGGGGTTAGGCTAGACTAGTCGATGAGTCAACTGTTGATCTAATTTCATTACGTGAACGTAAAAGAAAAACGGGGTAAAAAAGCACTAATGTGTGATCAATTTTCAAGGACAATTCTTTAATTTCTCCTACGATTTTAAATAGATTAAAACGCGTAACATCCAAAATCTAAGCTCAGATTCGGATTCCTCGTGAAAAACTGAGGCGATTTCATGCATCAAATTTTAGAATAGTGTGAAGGAAAGAGGTTTAATGACGTAAAAAAACACTAATGTGTGATCAATTTTCAAGGACAATTCTGTAAATTCTCTTACGATTTTAAATAGATTAAAACGCGTAACATCCAACATCTAAGCTCAGATTCGGATTTCTCGTGAAAAATTGATGAGATTTCATGTATCAGTCGTTAGAATAGCGTGAAGGAAAAAGGTTTAACGACGCGTATAGATTCTATCATACTGCCCCTTTGAACTACGCCGCCGCTGGCGCTAACTCGCGTTCGGTTTCGTCCGGAGGAATTCCTCACGATAAATTCTTATTCTTCCTCCTCCGCTGACCCACTGAGCACTACCCATGTTGCCACGTTGCATTCATATGCTCGAATCAGTATGTCTACGTTACGTCTCTTTCCTTCACGCTATGCTCGGGTATGATACATGAAATTGTATCAATTTTTAACGAGGAATCCGAATCTGAACTTCGATTTTGGGTATCACGCGTTTTAAGTCAAATTTTCCAAATTCGAAAATCTGAAATGACTGACGTGGCTTAAAATGCCATCTCGGCTCCTGTTCGATGGATTTTCCTGAAATTCGGTGTCAGGGTATGATACATGAAATCGCATCGATTTTTTACGAGGAATCCGAATCTGAACTTCGATATTGGGTATCACGCGTTTTAAATAAAAATCTGTCAAAATTAAAAAAATTCAAAATTCGAAAATCCGAAATGGCTTAAAATGCTATCTCGGCCCCTGTTCGATGGATTTTTCAGAAATTCGGTGTCAGGAGGTATTTTTCGACGGGAAACTCGAATTTTTAGTCCATTTTTTAAAATTCTCAAATTCAAGATGGCGGACGTGGGCTAAAATGCTATCTCGGTTTCTGTTTGTTCGAGTCTTGTGAAACGCGATATCACACGGTATTTTTCAACGGATAACTCGAATTTTTAGTCAATTTTTTAGAATTCTCAACTCCAAAATGTTGGATGTGGCCTAAAATGAGCCCCGGTTCTGGCCTCCGTTTCTGTTCGTTAGAGCTTTGTGAACCTCGAGGGGATCAGGGGTACTTTTCGACGGGAAACTCGAATTTTTAGTCGATTTTTGAAAATTCTCAAACCCAAGATGGCGGACGTGGCCCAAAATGCTATGTCGGCTCCTGTTCGATGGATTTTTTTGAAACTCGGTGTCTCAGGGTATTTTTCGACCGGAAACTCGAATTTTTTCTATGTTTAAAAATGTTTAAATCCAAGATGGCGGAAGTGGCCTAAAATGCTATGTCGGCTCCTGTTCGATGGATTTTTTTGAAACTCGGTATCTGAGGGTATTTTACGACCGGAAACTCGAATTTTTACTATGTTTAAAAATTCTTAAATCCAAGATGGCGGACGTGGCCTAAAATGCTATGTCGGCTCCTGTTCGATGGATTTATGGCGCCCCCTTACTACATGCCTACTCTTGTATTTCTGTACAGCCGCAAATTTAGGGTCAAGGGGTGCCTGACCGTCTACGGACCAGGTGGAGTTCTTCTAACGCACAAAATTTCATTGCCAATCTGTAGATTTCAATTCTAATGAAGATGGCCAAGAAAGTACATAAATGAGCGTTCTTCCACAAAAATGAGTAAATTTATGCAAAAACTAAGTCAAATACGTAATTTATAAACGATGGTTCGTAACAATTGGATTAATAAATCGCTCTGGATAGTTGAAATTCATAGGTTGGCTGCATTTCTGGGCCCTAACTTTATTCGCGGAGGCATCGGTGAAGGCCTGATGGATTTTCGGAGTTTCACATCTGTCTATACTCGAGTCTCCATGTCCTCTTTGTCTACAGTTTTGTCTTTCAACAATCAGCCCGTAGCTGTTGAATTTTATGCCGAACGGCTCAAGGTGGACGATGTGATTGGTTGCAGATCTGAGTTCTTCCAGACGGCGGCATCGGCCACGGGGTCGGCTCCGGGCTTGGGGTCTGGAGCAGGGGTCTTCCATGTGAGTCTGGAGCTGGGCCGATGGGACGAGTCGCGCAAGTACAAGATGCTGGACGCGGCGCTGGTCGGCGAGAAGTACATCAACGCCTCAAGCTCCTTCAGCGTGTGCCTCGCCACACAGAGCTCCGTCGAAAAGCTCGGCTCCCTCCCCCAGGTCGCTCATCACTGGATCGGGCCCATGTCCGTCGCACTCTTCGCGGCCGGGGATGAGGAGTTCGCACTTCTCCAAGGTAGGATACATAGCCAAACGCTTCGTACGAGGGTCATCCAAAAAGTAAGTTCACCCCTTTCATATCTCCGAAACTAAAAGGGATAAATCAAATCGGTAAAAAATAACTTCTTACTTATAACCTCAGCTCTCCATAGGTACCAAGATTTTTAAATTTGGACCACTGGTTGCCGAGATATTCGATTTTTACGTGAACAACTCCCGGCCAGTTCCGTCCACCAAACGACGCGCAGATATGAGATGCACCGCGCGCTGTCGCGTCGCTTTTTGTCTTCTGGGACTCTCAAGGAGTACTTCTCGTCCATTATTTGGAGAAAGGGTGTACAATCAATGCACCACGGTATTAAGGAATGTTGAATTCGTTGCGATTGGCAATAAGAAACAAGCGACCGGGTCTCTTGTCTCGTGGTCCCCTATTCCTTCACGATAATGCCAGACCTCACACGGCGAAAGAGACCCAAAAGTTGGACAAATTTGCGTGGGAGGTGTCACCTCATCCTTCATACTCTCCAGCCCTTGCCCCGAGTGACTATTATATTTTTCCGCAACTCAAGAAGCACCTAGGTGGCCAGCGCTTCGAGAACGATCAGCAGGTGATGGAAGCAGTCAATGGCTGGTTCAAGAGTCAACCAATAGTGTTCTTTGAGAACGGCATTAGGAGGCTTCAGAAACGCTATGAAAAATGCATCTAAAGGAACGGAAATTACGTCGAAAAATAAGGTAATTGTTTTAAAGCCAATCTTAGAATATTTGAGTTGGTTATTCCTACGTAGGTGTGTGGGGAACACAGTCAATTCAGGTAGCGTGACGGGAATCGCAGCGCATCGTTTGGTGGACGGAACTGGCCGGGAGTTGTTCACGTAAAAATCGAATATCTCGGCAACCAGTGGTCCAAATTTAAAAATCTTGGTACCTATGGAGAGCTGAGGATATAAGTAAGAAGTTATTTTTTACCGATTTGATTTATCCCTTTTAGTTTCGGAGATATGAAAGGGGTGAACTTACTTTTTGGATGACCCTCGTATTTGGGGGCCGTTCGTAAACCTGCAAGCTAGACGCGCGTTTAGACGCGAAAAGTAGGATCCGATCCTACTTCGAGCGAGTTGTGGACGGCGAGTTGCAACCTGATTGGCTATGGAGATTGTCGAACCTCATAATCCACGTTCATAAACATTTTAACTCTTTCATTAATACTGTCACCAATGGAGAGTTGTATTTTATGGTTTATTCATGGGGGATCCTCGAAAAATGTTTAACGTAAACTGAAACTTGCATCAAGTTTAAATGCAAAATAAAATATACCGCGCCACAAATTTTCAGTCTTGCCAGAATTTTTCTCAGGATTCAATCAACTTTGGAGTCCACTTCAAAAAGAAAACCGTGAATTCATTTACCATATTTTATTTTTGCATGTAAATTTAATGTATGTTTTAGTTTGCGTTGAAAAGTTTTTCGAGAATCCCCCATGAAAAGACCATAAAATACAACTTTTTATTGGTAACAATATTAATGAAAGAGCTGAAATGTTTTTCAACAAGTACTATACGGTTGTTTTCAATTCGCCTTCAGCTGCGTCTGCAGCAATTGTTGTTACGAATATGTTGTGCGTGGTGATCTCAGCTCATTACATACTTGACTCTCTGAAGGCGTTTTATGTGCGCAAGTAGAGCACTCTGTCGGAGAGCAACAGAAGTGAGATTGAATGAATCGCTCAATCCCTACTTCGTTCGTTCGTCGTCAGAAAGCGCTACTTGCGCACATAAAACGCCTTCAGAGAGTCGAGTATGTATTGAGCCAAAATCAGCGCGCACAACATATCCATAACAACAATTGCTGCAGACGCAGCAGCAGGCGAGTTGCTCACTTAAAAAAAAAAGAGTAAGGTAGGTAGTCTGCGTGTATTGAGAGGGTATGTATCGATCGACATGAGTCGAACGAGAAATGAAAACGTGAACTGATCAACATCGATTCAATGGACAAATAACAAAGAGAGCGGATCAAAATCAGTAGTAAACTTGCATTTACTACGAAAATTTCAAGTTGCGATATCTCGTAATTAAGATCAGTCAAGATTTTGATTTTTCGCGATTTTAAGTCCACTCGAACCATAGACTCGCCTCTTGCAACCCGTTTTTGGGTTCATTTTTGTCCCAATTTTTTTTTTTTTTTTTTTTGACTTCAAGACCTGTCAGATATATACCTTTCTCCCTCCAGCCTCCAGGGAGTGTGAGTGATTTCGCTGAATGAGCGAGTCAACCGCGTCACATGTCTTTCCCGCGAGAGCAGCCGAAAATTTTGCTTGAGACAACTCAGTTTTTTTGGGAGTTTCCCAGGGATCCCCCTCTGAAGTACCCTTCCGAAACTCCAACACGTAGAGGACCTTTATAGAAAGAATGTGGTCACTGCGGTTACCGCCTCCGATTGGATCAGCCATCTTAGGCTGAATGGAGCCTTCTAGGGCCCGAAAATGGGGGACGCTGTAAGTAAATGTCAGTACAAAACGACTCAAAATGTAGTTTTATATTTACATGTCGCAACGGAAACTTCACTCTAATGCATAAATACGACGCATTTATATAGTTTTACGGCTAATCGTGTGCTATTTTCGTGAAAAATCATAATGGACATATAGTAAGATTGGCAGCAAGAGCGGTTGGTGATAATCAGGTGCGATAACCGTCAAAAGTTGGCAATGACACCCCCCTCCCATCCTCAAAAAACCAGAACAAAGCGCCACCGTTTTTGGGCCCTAAGCCTAAGCCCTTCACGGGGCCCAGCGTCCATACTCTCCCTGTATAGGCACTCTACCCCTGGAGCTAGATTGCCCCCTGTCTTTCTATCCATCACAAAAAGTTCCAGGTACCGCCGATGCTTATTAAGCGCTCAGCCGATAGGCAGCGCTTTTTGATTTCGACTTGCCTCTGAGTACTAGTATACTAGTGCTAATGCGTTTAAATGGCGCACCAGCTCATCCATGTGTAGGCTTTTGGGGGGGGGGAGTCAATTTTTAAAATAAATAAAGCTGTGAAAACTGTATTTTATGCTTTTAACGTAATGCGCAGGTAGTTTCGATCGTTTGTCTATAAGAAAATTTCTTAGCGGTAGAGTAATTCTTATCGAAATTGATCGTTGAACTCAAATGAAGCCTAAAAAAAACGCGCCTGATGAGCTCAACGGTGAGCTCATTTTCGGGAAACGAAAAAACGCGTTTACGGTTTCCTTGGTAACCTTTGTTTGCTATCAGCTGATGTTTTATTTCCATTTCCCAGCCAAGTTGACGGAGTTTATACTTCCTTTCTTCACTAAATACATTGACTAACACCTGAGCACTTTTCTAATACGACAGTATTAGCACTTTCCCGTTTGTTTTCTCTTGAGCCTTTAGCATATGGATGCAATGTTTCAGGGTACGTGAAATACCTGCGGCGATGCTTCGCGCCGATCTCGGAGCGGGTGGCGTTCCACGTCCTGTTCCCGGGGAGCCGGATGCCGAGCAACTCGAGCGCGGCGCCGCGGACGGAGGGGCTGGACTGCCTGCGGCCGGAGAAGGAGCTGGCGCGGCTCCTCAAGTGGCGCTCGGCGGAGCTCAAGTCCTGGCGGATGCGCAACCCCTACCCGCAGAACGTCCTCCGGAACCTGGCGCGCAAGAACTGCCACACCGACTACGTCTTCCTCCTCGACGTGGACGTCATCCCCAGCCGGGACCTCGCCCAGGGCCTCGACGCCTTCCTGCGGCGGAGCCCGCGGTGTCCGAGGTGCGCCTACGTCGTGCCCACCTACGAGATCGACAACCGCGCCCACTTCCCCAAGAACAAGCCCGACCTCATCCGCCTCGTCCGCAAGGGACTCGCCCAGCCTTTCCACCATAAGATCTTCATCTATAACCAGTATGCCACCAATTTCTCCAGGTAAGAGTCTAGGACGCAGCCCAAGTAGCATTTTTCAATGTAAAAGTTGCAAAAAGTTGAAACAATGTTGGTATTAGTTGCAACAAAGTTGCAACTTTCGGTAGACTTTTGGTCGATAAGTGCCGATTTTCCGCGATCTGATCGGAAGACAAAGTAGCAACCTGCGGGTCGATTATTGAAATTGATAGACAAAGCTATAGACAAAGAAGACAAAAGGGATTTGGAGGGATCCTATTGGTGGAGGCGGGTGGTTGCAATGGACAAAGGACGTGGATGATAGACTTACTAACGGCAACCCACGAGAGACCCGATAATTAGTCCATCATTTTCTCCCTTAGTCTATGAGAGCCACCCGTTTCCACCTATAGGATCGCTTCTTACTCTCTGTGTCTTCTTTGTCTATCGCTTTGTCTATCAATTTCAATAATCGGCCCGCTGCTGAGATTGCAAAATTGCTGCACCAAAGTTGTTTAAAATCTAAAGATAGGCAACCAGCAATACTTTGAAGTTGAAACATGTTTCAACTTAATTGCAACTAGTCCCGACAGTGATAGCTCCTTCGGGGGAGAGAGTAGGCAATCTGCACACCAATCTATTAGTTGCAAGAATCAAACGATTTTGTTGCAAGTTGTTGCAACCTCTGCTACTTGGGGGCTTGTCGAAGAGGGTTAGAGCGAGGGCTATATTTGAGGGGCCAGCGGGCCGATTATTGAAATTGGATAGACAAGGCGATAGACAAAGAAGAGGCAGGGAGTATAGAGCTAACTTATTGGTTGAAATGGGTGGTTCCTGTAGACTAAGGGAGAAAATGATGAACTAACTATCGGGTCCCTCGTGGGTTGCCGTTACTTATTTTTAGTCTATTACCTACCTCCTATGTCCATTGCGACCACCCGCTTCCACCAATGGGGTCCCTTCATATCTCTTTTGTCTTCTTTGTCTATAGCTTTATCTATTAATTTCAATAATCGGCCCGCTGGAGGATAAGGCGCATTAGTGCTGTTTTTGCTATTTCGAGAAATACGTGTTTGAAATTTCGAAATTACATAGATCCTTCCGCCGGAAAGGAAATTCAAACTGACTTTTTGAACGCGGGGGCCTAAAAACTGTGCGAAAATTCCGATAGACTGTGAGGTAAAATGTGGCTTTACAACTAGGAATATCAAAAACTTCACTTGAATAACAGTAAAAAACGTGTTAACTCAGTTTGAAAACCAGCTAAGTGCATTTCTCCAATTTAAATGAGACGAAGGTATGCTTTACCTTATTAAAGCATCCAAAATCGTCAAAATTCTTAGTCGCGTTGGGTTTCTTTTCAGTCTCGCCTGGAAGGAGAGTCCAGGCGGAAGAATGGATCCATAAGAATAGAATATCGCAGAATTAGAACCCGGTTACTAACTTCTCGCCAAGTTTAAAAATGTTTTTTTTTTTTTTTTTTAAAAAAAAGAGAGAAAAAAAACCCAACGTGACTGAGCGTTTTGTCAATTTTGGATGACTACATCGGAAGAATATACCTTCGTTTCACTTACCTTCAATTATATCAGCATAGTTCTTTATTGTGGTAGAAGGTATGACCTGTAAAAATTAAATACTGAAACAGACGTTGCATCTGACGTTTCCGCTAACCTGTTTCCAGATGGGAGAACGAAGAGAGTCAAAATACGGATGTTCACATAAGTCACGACGTGACGAATTTTGAATTCTTGTACGAGCCATTTTACGTAGCGCCGGACGATGTCCCACCGCACAACGAAAAATTCATCGGCTACGGATACACAAGGAACACTCAGGTGGGTATCTAGATTATTTTTCCTCCAGTTTGTGCGCTCTGAGCATACACGCAAATTAATCTCTCTCATGCATGGATTTGACTGGTCCTTCAAAAATGTCTATGACGCTAAAAAGAGGTGAGGGTTGCGACCTTTAAAACATGACTGCGACCGAAATTATGGAAGATAAAACTTTTCCGGATTTGTTGAATGCAACAATTTGTAATTATTTTGTGCTGGAAGTAAGTGAACAGCGAAATTTTTCCACAAAAGTCGCTCGAATGGTCGTCGATGGGTTTTGTGTAATGTTTTATCATTTGAAATGACGATAATTCCAACAAACTGTACAAAAACTTCAAATTCATAAGTTGAAAACCACTGGCGCCCCTAGTTTAAATCATCGCAACAAACACAGTGCGACCGGCACGGGGCTGGCGCGCACGGCACGAAACGCATAGCAGCGCCTTACAAGACCGCAGGATACTTCATGCATTGCGCGTACCGCACGGTGCTGGCCCGACGCATAGTAGCGCCTTACAAGTCTGCAGGATACTTCATGCATTGCGCGTATACCACGATGCGCGCTCGTGTCTTTGAAAAGTCTTCTTTTCTTAGTGTCCAACCTACCCCGATGTACGCCATTTCTGAACAGTGCACACAGCGAGCTTGCAATCCTAGGATCACAGGATTGTACAGATTGCAGGCGACTTTAAGGGCGGTGATTGGGTCGGCGATTTTTCACGAAGATATTATTTCCCTAAAACATGTGACCATTTATGAGAGAAGAGTACTGAGTCCAACATTTAGAAAAGGTTCGAGGGATAAAATGGCGGCTAACTCAAGCCACAAAATAAGTGACCATTGAGTTTCCATGCAAGAACTGTGGATTCTTTTTAAAATTTTAAAGATTTTTACTCGTACTTTAATCTAGTGTACCCGAAAACTTTCAGAAGAGAACTAATCACTTTTCACTCAAAATTAAATATTGGCAGGAAGAAATTCAGCAGCATTCGAATGTTCAATTGCACACGTGCACAAGACTGCCATGCTAAGTAAAAACGCCGTATGAACCTTCAAGCGTTGCCACATTTCCTTTCATAAAACGCGAATTTCCTGTTAAATTTATGAATATTTTCCTCCCAATTTTTCAGATAATTTAGTTCACAATTTTACCTAAAGATCCTGAAAAGTTAAAGGAAAAATATTCATAATTTTCCTCAAAAATGAACATTTTATCGAGGGAAATTTGGCAACTCTCGAATGTTCATACGGCGTTCTTCCTTAGCACGGCAGAACTTTTCTCCCCATCACGGTAGGGAAATACCTTGCAACTTAAGATGATACGCGTGTTGCATCCTCGCCCATTTCAGGCGATTTTTCACGTTGGCAAATTTTTATTAGGCTTGTCGACGGTAAAATACTCAAACCACGCATCTCGTTTCCAGTGTTTTAAAATCTTATCCTTTATTCTTTTAAAGGAGAAGAAATCATTATGATACCTCGAAGTATCCACAGAATTTTCTTCTCACAGGCACGGAAGTTTTTAATGATTGACGTTGAGTAGTTTATCATTTAATAAATGAAGTATGACAAGGAGTTCACGATGTTGCATATCGAGATACGTGGTTTGGGAATTTCACTGTCAATTCCTCTCCCCAGCTCAACAACCGATTTACGATCGCTCCCTCTGAGGACTGACAAATGAATTCAGTATGTTTTTTTTCCAGGTGTATGAGATGTTTGTGGCCGGTTACAAGTTCAAAGTGCTCTCGCCGGTTTTCACTTGTCACTGGGGCTTGGAGAAGAAGCACAAATGGCCGCCTTGGCGCGAGCGGCAGAACTACGCCAATCGAGCCATTTTCGAAGTGTTCAAGCGAGAGATATTTGCTCGCTACCAGAAGGATCCGCTGAATATGATCAAACGGGCGCCCACTGTCTCAAGAATCGCTGTCTCCAAATTTCGGTCGAAAACATAATCAACGTCCGATAGCCACAGAGACAAGAGACCCTCCACTGGTATCTATGCAATGGTGGAAGCTTTTACTTTCGGGACTTCAACATTCAACTGTTGACCTACCTACTAGGTCGATGGCTAAGGTGAATCGACGGTTGCCTATTTTAAGTCAGAGCGACGTGCGATGTATCGCATCGATTCGTTCCATAATTTCAGCTACTTGTCATTTTTTTCGAATTTTGAGATCGCACCTCTGTTGTCATGAGACTAAAGAACTCATGTACCAAATTTGACAAAGAAATTCAACGTAATAAAAGTTTTTTTAGAGGAAAAATATCACCTAGGCTTCGACACCGATATCGAGACTACACTCGAATGTGATATTTTTCCTCTGAAAAAACCCTTCCTTTCATACGTTGAATTCCTGTGTCAAATCTGGTACATGAATTCTTTGGTCTCATGACAAGAGAAGTGCGATCTCTAAATTCGAAAAAAATGACAAGTAGCTGAAATAATGGAGCGAATTGATGGCAATCGTCGAATAACCTTAACAACGTGTTGGGGAGTTTCGTTTTGCAAACAAGCCGAAGTTTGGGGAACCTGTTTAGCTTATGGCGTCACCCGAAGCTCATCATCCACCTAGTAGGTAAAATGATTGTTGTTCCCTTAGAATTGTCCATGAGGAAGTGTTGAAGCCCCGAAAGTAAAAGCTACCACTTGTCGCCAAGAGGGCAGTGGAGGGTCTCTTGTCTCTGGGTAGTCTTTGTCGGTGCATGAATATATCGAAGGGCGCTGGTCAGATTGGGCATTTTTTCATAGATTGGAGACATGAGACCCTTCATTAGTATCTTGGCAGTGGTGGAAGCTTTTATTTCCGGGACTCCAACATTCAACTGTTGACCTACCCACTTGGTGGATGTTGAACAACGAGTTGGATATTTCATTCCGTAAACATGCCGAATCCTCCTCCTAGTGCGTATGATGACTGTTACTCACTTAGAATTGCCCATAAGGAAGTGTTGAATCCCCGAAAGTAAAAGTTTCCACCGTCGCACAGTGGACCGAGTCAATAGGAGAGGTTGGACTTCTCTGATTGACTCGATCCACTGTGCGTCGCAAAGAAACCAGAGGAGGGTCCCTTGTCTCTGTCCTAGACCCAGGCAGTTAGTTATTTCAAGACTTGGTATGTTTTGCATATTTTTTAAAAAGAGCACTAGATTCGTCGATATTTTGGTCCTGAACATATCGATTAAAATACGAATTCTCCTGAAATTTTACGGAACAATTTGTTTCTATCAGGTCTTAAATGGCAAAATTGAAGATGTGTACTGTGTACCTTGTAAAATATGCTTTACAATTTTTTGGTGAATGATTATTTTAGCGCCTGATGTTGATACAATATTCACTCCAAAGATAATTTAAAATTCCCAGAGAATTTCTATTACCATATTGAGGGCAAAATCTTGTCAAAACCGCAAAAGATTCAGGAGTTTTATGCTTTAAAGAAATACTTGAATACCTGCCTGAGGAGAGTGCTTAATTGAGAATGCCTATAAGACAATTCTGTAACTATATCTTGAAGACCGAGAGGTTAGCTTCAAGCACGCTATATTTCGTTTAAAAAACGAAACCAACTCGATGCCAAATGTAGAAAATTAACTTCATGTAATAGGTAGTCCATTGTAAAGATGTTGCATTTTATGAGCTTATTATTTTTTTACTGTCTGAAATTAATTGGATTCATCGATGGAGTAAAAGTGTCTAAATGTATTAGGTCCAGTCAGAAGGGATGTTTCTTTCCAACTGTTTTGCGTTCAATCCATAATGCGACTCAGTTGAAAATTACCGATTATTGTGGTAACTACTTGAGAGCATCAACACTATTTTCTTATTACGTGTGTATTATTTTCTTTCCAGATACATAAGCCTAGGTTTCACAATGATAATCGAAAGGGTCCCACGTATGAGCATGTCACTTGAAGGGATAAGAATAAGTGGAGTATAATAACATTGCACCTCACTTCTGCAAAATTTTTATTCGACGATTTTTTTTACGCAAGAATGATATTCTACATTTTGACGGAAAATCCGAAATTTTCAATGGAATAACTTGCACTCGCTTTTGAATGAAGAGATAAGTTGCCAAGCGAAACACCGTGACATAGCAATGCAACTATAAGTTTCTCAGCAGCTCTCATCCTCTCAATTCACTTCTTTTCGGAGAAAAGTAGTAATGAAATTAACAAATCACCATGGGACTTAATAGCCTAAAGACAAATTAAATTGGTGTAGTGAAAATAAAATTTTAGCTACTTTTAGCTTTCAGTGCATTAAATTCAGTCCCTTGAGACTAGCTCCACTCGGAACAATCAATATGTTAATTTTTTCACACAAAAAATTTCCCTTTGACAATTCATTCCTTACAACCTTCAATTCTGAATTTGTATGCTTTGCTCGCTACACTTCTTTGACCAGAGAATGAATGAATTAGGGTAATTTTTTTGTTCAACATCCTCACTTTTGCTCCGTCGATAAACGCACAAGCCCTTATGATGTGGTATGCTCTCTTTACCAATGAGTATGTGTAAGAAACAACGAATAAATCAAACGGATGAGGATGATTCATCTCTTTTAAGTTGCCGCAGCCATTATAGTAAATCGTAGGTATTATACATATTTTCTCAGGAATACAATTGATCAAAGTAAAATCTGTGGTGCAATTTTTGTTGCCTTGGCATGAATGCTTGTCCGCACACACCTCTTCTCAGCGATCCCAACAGACATTTTTTTAGTGGAATTTTAGGAAGCAAAATTTAAGAGACGTTAAGTTAAAGTTGAACGTGGGACTCGTCAGATGCCTGCTATACGCCTTTAATGTTTTGCAGCATAATACAATGTATCCTGCGTGTAACAATAGTTATCTGCTCAAACCATTTACGCCAGGCCCTGTAAGTTGCTTGCTTAGCGGCACACGCCCCTTAGCAGCCGCAATATACTTAATATTTACTTTGTTCCCCTCTGAAAGTTCGTGTGATTTTGTAAATCTTCCTTGTACAGAAATGATTTTATTTTCCGAAGTTTCTTCCGAAAAACAGTGCGCTTCCTCATTGACATTATCACTGTTTTACAAGTTTTCCAGCAAAACTTAGGAATACCATGTTTTCATGTTCAAAATTGAGCAATGTTTTTATGTTAGACAAATTTCATGCTCTGTGTCAATCCTGAATTTGCTTATAATTTTCAATATGAAATAGTAGCGATATCTTTACGAAATTGACACCATTGAATACGTGTTGAGGCACGTGTGACCGACTCTTATTCCTTATGGAGGATTATGACAGGGCCTTTTGTTCCACTTCCACTAAAATCACTGGGATTTACTTCTCTCCTAATAAAGCGTAAGCAATCATAACACCAATAGTGCCATGTTTGTTAAAAGCTTAGTCTTCGATCACTTCCATGGCTGCAAATTGCGCACAAAATAGTTGATGTGTTTAAGTTGCTTGTTTTTCCAGTCCTAATAGCAAAATTTGTAAAATTCCTCGTGGAAAAAGTGAAACAGGTAATTTTTACGAGTTCACTAATGTACCTGTTATATGAAATGATTCTAAGTTATTAGGATTAAAAAATCGTTCCTACAAAATTTGTGAATTTGAAGGTAAAAATAACTTCGACGAGTAAACTGAATTTGTTTGCATATTTCCTGTAAAAGATACTAGGTACGTAGTATTTCCTTTTTAGCACATTTCACTTTTTTGCGAGTCTTTTTACAATTATTTTGTGCAACTTGGAAGCCTTTTAGGATAAAGAGAGGGTCATCATAGCATAAAAATTAAATTAAATTACATTACTTCAATGCAAGCCATGGCTCAAATGTGTTAGCAATTCAAAAGTTAGTTTCTGCGCCGATTATGAACCTCAGTTACCCACGGGGTGATGATGCAGCCTTCGACATTCAATAGTTAGTGTCGTTTTAGATGTATTAATTCGCTCCAACACTTTTACCTGAATAAATGTTTGTCAAATTTTATAAATAAACTTAATTGTTTTTGTAGCTGTCCATGGTGTAATCTTTTACAGTTTTGTTACTTAAGTAGGTATAACCCAGCGCGCATGCGAATTCCGAAAAACACGTACCTCAACTTAAGACGTTTTATTATTTCTTGCCACAGTTAATATTATAAAAAGAAAAGTAATGGAAATTCTTAATAGAACTCCTACTAATTCTTCTTCGGTCATCACAGAAAAATTCTGTGAAGTGATCGGAAATTTGCAACCTCGATTGTCGAGAAATGCAAAAATTAAAAAGAGGTGAGGTAGATTTAACATTCTGAATGTAAAATAGGTGTGCGAGAGCTTAACCCGCCACAGCAGTTAGTCTTACAATTTGCCATTGCTAAAGTAACTGATCTAGCGGGTAATTCAGACTTTATGGGGTTCTCGCAAACTTTTTTCACATCCAGAATGTTAAATCAACTTCACTTTTTTTCCGTGTGCGTTAAATCTCCTCCGGAAATTATAGAACCGAGTCTTCGTAAAACACATATCTAAACATCCTGTAGATTGGACTCTTTACTGTTCCGATGGACATGACTGAAGTCGTCGGCTGCCGAACTGTCTGCATGGACGGAGCTACGTCATCGAATTCGAGGCGGCTGAAATGGGAACACGGTGAATGACTTGAGTCATCTTCGAATTCGGAGCCTCAGCATTTTCATCGAGGCTCTTGACCTCCTTCGACTGCAACTGGAACTTTTCTCACCTTATTTGGACTGCATTTTGCAATTTGGAACTGTAAATTCTGGCTCTTATGGAAAAACACTTATGTGCACAGGGAAACTTATAACACATACGTTGTTTTTAAACTGGGCTAGAATTTATAGTTCCAAATTGCAAAATGCAGTCCATTTCATGCGCTATTATTTCACCTTATACTGGCCAAACCTTCAGTGGTGCAGCCTTATGCGGTTGCAAATTCTGACCTTCCTCCCCCTCATTGTCTGTTGGAGGATGGGTCAGTGCTTCCATTCCATGTCCGTCAAAAAGCCTGGGATCCGGAACTTTTTTGTTTCAATTTCTCCCACTTCATAACCGTTAAACGTTCCGAGAAAGTTCCTGAAAATGCAAAAGATCCGGAACATCTCGGGAATTTCAAAAAGTTCCGGGAAAAACTCAGGAAAATCTCCAAAGTTC